TTCCCTCCCTCTTCCGCCCTCATTTTTCTGCGTGTTGGGCGGACTTAAGTTTTGCAGAAGTTTCAAGTCGTAGGATCTACACGGAAAAAAACCACGAGCTCTGTGAGCAGTATTTGAACCTGCACGTGGAGACCCCATTGGGTTTCGAGTCCAACACCTTCACCACGCGGCTACCACGGTCCCTCGGAAACGTGTGGAGGTCTTTTGTCAGAGCACGTGAAAGAAGGGATAGGACAGCTGATTCCTTAGTATCCCCAACAAATCCTTTAAATCCAAGCTTACATATCTTATTTAATCATAATTTCAACTTTTTAGATAGTCAAAGAAAATCTTGGCAACATCTTTGACGGAAATTACTCTTTCATCCCACAAAGGTGAGGGAATTCTTTATTGCTCAACCTTCAAAATACAGCTATATCTGAAAAACTCCCTAACTGCTACCGCCTGGTCCAAGACACCTTTCATCTCTAACAGGAAATATTACAAAAACCTTTTAATAGGTTTTCCTTCTTCCACCCTTTGCCGCTTTCCAAAGCATTCTATGAAAAGTAGTCAGAGAGATCTTTTTGAACCAAGAACACCTTATGGCACAGCTTTACTCAAAACTCCACAGATCTTGGTATCTGTATTGGGAATGACTTTGTTCAACCTTCTAGTTTGTTGTCTTCTACAAAGTACCCCTTCCCCTAGCAAAGTGTAAGGCCTGAATAATAGAACATTCGCCCGACGTAAATTCAAATTGGCTCCTAGTCATCTAGGGAAAATCTCTTGTATTGGATTAGTATCACAAAAAGCAAGTAGAAGATAGGCCCTGATTTAATTTAATTTAATTTAATTTAATGGGGGGTACTGGGCGCCAGGACTACAGTTCTTGAGTAAACGCTTATCTTTGCCTTAAGCAAGCCCATTTTATGCATCTAGGTTAACATGTCTTTGAAAGGTCAGACGTAATCTTTTTCAGACCAGTGGGAGACCTTAAGCACCTTCCAGAGAGCACACGGTCCTGTTAACTCTCCCGTTATCCAATCCCATCCTTGCTTTCCCCCACCTTTACGTAATCTTCTTCACATCACCTCCATTGCAAATCTATGAAAGATGCTGCAAAACGGTCATTCTCTGGAAGCATTTGAGACCTTGCTTCCCAGCAATTATGATTAGTTTGGCTCCAATAAAATCTTATAAAAACTCTTTACCTGTTTGGACGTTCTTAGGTCAACAATGTGAGTATCATGTACTTTATATTCTAGTAGTACTTTTCCAAAAGAAGACTGTGTAATATGTAGATAGATATACGAGAGAGCTTTTTAAATGTGCACAGGTCAGTTAACTTTTGAAAATATCACTACCTTTCACTGAAAGACGGTCGTGCAGGGAGGAGGAGAGAGGAACCCAGCGAAGGGAGCAGAGGTGACTCACGAATAAGTGCTCCTCTGGCCGCTCCCTGGCGGACACCTGTGTCAGCCCCGCCCCATCCTCTGCCATCCCGGGTTTCTCTTGGTTCAGACAACGGCCCTGACTCCGGACGCTCCTGGCCATGGGTTTGGGGGTCCTGGTTCCTGGGGACTGGAAGAGGTCACAGGCCCCAGAGAGGCGGCCCCTCGTTCGGGCGCCACCACGTGTCGGATGCCGGCGCTGCAGCTCCGGACCCGCGACCCCGAGCACTGAGTCTTCTCTGTGAGTTGGAGAAAAACCATGTTTTACCGGAAGAAACACACATTTGGAGCTTTTCCTCCTTCCCCCACCCCGCCTCCTTCCTTCCCCAAAAGAGAACGGAAAAGAGGAACAATTCTGTCTTTTACTCAAGATGAATGTAAAGAACACGACTGCACGAATATATGTCGCTTTGCCGCCATCCTGGCCGGTTAGCTCAGTTGGTTAGAGCGTGGTGCTAATAACGCCAAGGTCGCGGGTTCGATCCCCGTACGGGCCATGTGCCGCTGGCGATTTTGCTGTTCAAAGTGTCCATTAAGAGTCTCCAAGGCCAGGACTTTCACTTCCTTCGAACCTCCTTGCTGGCTGACCCCGGCCCCTTTGAATAACGTCTCCTCAGGGTGTCATGGGCTCAGGCCTCAGACTCCACCTTATTCTCAAAGCAAAATGGAAACCATGGTCCTTACCTTTATTTACTTTATTTTGTTTTCCTGTGAGGAGACTTCCTTAGAGAAAGAACCTGAATTATGTTATTACTTCTCCAAACCGATCGTATTAATCATATATCACTCAGCTGTCATATCACACATACCCCAGTTCAGTCTAACAGAAAACAAGATTAAAAACTAAAAAAGAAAAATATTTCCAAAATTTCAACAATAAGTATGACAAAGATCTTTCTTTGGTACACTCTACACTCTTATTCCAAAATAAAAGAGATACAGATGTTAAACACTTTTAAATTTTAAGCCTTTTTTGCATACATTATATATTCATGTGTTTTCAAAAGCGGGAACTGGAAGATAAAGGTACACGGAAATTTCCGTTCCATCCTCACCCCCATCAGCCCGAGTCTCACCATCACCTCCCAGAAGTAAGCTCTGTCCTCAATTTCTCATTTATCGTTACACGTATGAGTAATGTTTGTGTCAATTTTTTCTTTTTTCACACAAAATATAGCACAATTTTATTTGGTATTTGCAGTTTTCTCTTAGTATATGTTTGGTCTTTTAAATTGCACTTTTAACTTTGTACACTATAAAAATTGGAGCTTATTTTCAAAGGAGTTGGTCCTTCCACCCAGGAGTTGAATCTGGAAACTTTTAACCATTTTACCAAGTGTAGGCATATCCAACCCAGAGATGGAGGTGCTGGAGATGAAATCCTTAATTTTGTCTTACAGTGTGAACAAAGCACTTTCTTAAGCCAGATGATATTCAGAGAAATTTGAATATGGACCAATGAGCTGCTCGAAAGAGAAGAGTGAGCTAGGGAGTTGTTTGGGATCACAGGGCAGGGAGTACTAAGGACTCACTCTAGGTTACTCATCATTAATTTAGAGCTGGTGTGTGTTTTTCTCCCGTTTCCTTCACCTGCAAGGGTGTAGGCCATAAATATATAAACCACCAACACCAAGAAGGAACAGTAGAATCAAAGTTCAGTTTGGGTCTATTGAATTCCTCCCATCCCCAGAAGATCAACACATTTCTGTTCACACAGTAACATTATTATTGCTTCATGTTTTAAAACAAATAACATACACTGAAATAAAAATATTTTCAAAGAATATTAGATGCATGGGAAAGGAGTGTGAGGGACCAGTACTTCTCTGAGTCCAGCCGCCTGTGATTTCCATCTACCTGACATGACTGGACACCTGAGAATGAGTACTTAAAAAAAAATGAATACAAGCCTATCTCCCCCCCCCCAGGAGTTTCTCATGTGTGAGTGGAATTTATATGTATAGATATCTGTTTATAGATATTAATATATCAAATATATAGTGTAATAACAACTACCATTTATTTATTCAACACAATTTTTTTCTCAGTAGTCTATGAGACAGTCACTGTTTCTGACACCGAGTCCATGGATAGAATTCACAAATAGCCAGAGATGGTCTAGGGTGTAAGGATGGTTAAGATTCTTACCCTGAAGCAAAGTCTATTCAGTAAAGCTGTTTAATTCCGGCACAGAGTCCTCAGAAAATCACTCAAAGGAAGCCTGGGTAGTAAATAGAATTACTGTCAAGCACACAGGAGGCAGGTGCTGTCACAGCCAGTCTGACTGCTGTGCCTGGTAGAGACAACCCAGTCTTAGTTTCAGTGAGCTTATTGTTTACAGACAGGAAAAGGAAGAGTAACCAAAGGTGCCAGCACCCTTGGCCCTTGTCCTACACACCAAGAGAGACGGGGAGAGACCCCTGGGGAAGGAAGCTGGCAGAGCACATGGCCTGTTGTACCATCCATCCGCCCAAAGCTCAGGGAATCTAACACTGTTACACCGGCTCCTCCGTGTACCCCTTCTCCAAGCCCAGTATTTGTCAGTCACTTGCCGCTTTCACTAAATCACTCTAATATATTGTAGTGGTGAAATGTTGACCTTCTCCAGATTTTGACATTTGGCTGCTACCCAGGCAAGGTGGGGAAGAAGTTAGATGCTAAGTTTTGACACCAGAAATACTTGCAAAACCGCCAAGTTTTGGTTGTTTAAACAGATGTCAGGCAAACACTAAATTTATCTTGTTACTTGCTGCCCCCAAGACCCACCGGCCACTACCCAAAACACACAACTGAAGGGCAAAGCACAGCAGCTCTTTCTTGGCAGGTGAGTGGCTCTGAAAAGAGCCTTTGGGTGTGAACAAGCCGGATCAGTCTCTTCGAGGAGGGCTCACTTGGAGCTGGTGTACTTGGTGACGGCCTTGGTGCCCTCAGACACCGCGTGCTTGGCCAGCTCCCCAGGCAGCAGCAGGCGCACGGCCGTCTGGATCTCCCGGGACGTGATGGTCGAGCGCTTGTTGTAATGCGCCAGGCGCGACGCCTCGCCCGCGATGCGCTCGAAGATGTCGTTCACGAAGGAGTTCATGATGCCCATGGCCTTGGACGAGATGCCCGTGTCCGGGTGCACCTGCTTGAGCACCTTGTACACGTACACCGAGTAGCTCTCCTTGCGGCTGCGCTTGCGCTTCTTGCCGTCCTTCTTCTGCGCCTTGCTCACGGCCTTCTTGGAGCCCTTCTTCGGGGCGGGCGCGGACTTGGCCGGCTCGGGCATGGCCAGAAAGGAACTCAAAAAAAAAAAAAAAACAAGGGAGAACCAGAGAGTGAGGCACTGCGAGTGTCCTCTTGGTTCACAGCCTTTTAAAGTCACGTCTGATTGGCGGTAACTCCAGAAACGTCACGTGAATATCATCCAGTCAAAATAAGCGTATTTCAGAGCGAGGATCCCATTGGTTGAAGTGAAATGGCCTGTAACTTTTCGCCAATGGCACAGGTTCCCTTTCGCGCCCAGAAACGATTATAAATAAGGTAGCTTTGGGTGTTTGAACTCACACTCGAACTAGAACACGAGTTCTTGTCTACCTTGTCTATCATGTCTGGACGCGGGAAGCAGGGCGGCAAGGCGCGCGCCAAGGCCAAGACGCGCTCGTCGCGGGCCGGGCTGCAGTTCCCCGTGGGCCGCGTGCACCGCCTGCTGCGCAAGGGCAACTACGCCGAGCGGGTCGGGGCCGGCGCGCCCGTCTACCTGGCGGCCGTGCTCGAGTACCTGACGGCCGAGATCCTGGAGCTGGCGGGCAACGCGGCGCGCGACAACAAGAAGACGCGCATCATCCCGCGCCACCTGCAGCTGGCCATCCGCAACGACGAGGAGCTCAACAAGCTGCTGGGCAAGGTGACCATCGCGCAGGGCGGGGTGCTGCCTAACATCCAGGCCGTGCTGCTGCCCAAGAAGACCGAGAGCCACCACAAGGCCAAGGGCAAGTGAAGTGGAAGACAGACCCGAACATGTTTGTTTTAATTAAACCAAAGGCTCTTTTCAGAGCCACCCATGTTTTTCTAAAAGGGCTTGCTTTTTCGGTACTGCAGAAGGTACTTTAAAATATTTACCATAACTTATCAACCTACCAGTAGGTGGCACTATGTGAATACTCATGGAAAGGCGAAAGTTACTCCAGTAAGACAAAACCTAGCTTCAGCACAGTAAAATAGATACTTTCCACCACAGGTACTCAATGCTGCAGGCCCTTATTTAAATGCAAATCTTGGTAGAGACCCACAGCAATAAAAGCGAACCATTCAAGTGTCTCCTTCAAGAGTTTTGCATCACAATAGGACACGTCCTCTGATTTACGCCAACTTTTCCGGGCCCTAGTCGGTTGCAAAAAGGAAAAGAATGCTTCGTACCCCCAGTCACGTCCTTTAGGCAGAACTCAACACTGGGTAGCGTAATTTAAAAAATGCACACAGTAATTTTTCTGTGCCACTAACAAATTTGAAAATATTTTCCTTAATCCCATTTTACACAAATCTCACTTGAAATTGTAAAATGTGGAATGCTTTATATTAGAATGCTAGCTAGTGAAAAAAATATTATCAAGTGTTAAGTTACATATAGACAAAAAGCGTATAAAACACTGTACGAGTCTCAGTTTAAATAGAGAACTCAAGACTTTAACGTGAAAATAGTTTTCTTAAACTTGAATGAGGTTAAAAAAAAATTCCCTTAGCCAATCCCATGTAGCCCGCGCCTTTTCAAAAAGATCAAAGGAAAGCCAGTTTCAAGTGCCAAAGTGAAAATTTTTATTCGGCAAACAAGACATATCATTACAATATTTACATTAAATTCTGCGGAGAAAGGCCAAAGAAGGTTTTTTAAAATACGGGCAAAGATGGTCCAGAGAAGAGTAGAAAACAGCTGCTGTAGAACCGGTGTGTGGAAGGAAGTTCGTTTCAGGTTTAAACTTCCAAGAGGCTCCTTTGATCAGAAAGTGTGTGCTGCGTCCAATACCTTCACTGCGAGCATTGATGGGCAGACGTCTGGTCCAATCAGAGCTGGACTTGCCTTATATATTTGTGTCCAGCTGTTGCAACAGTTTAGTGCTTAGTTCCCTAAGATATGGCTCGGACCAAGCAGACAGCGCGCAAGTCCACCGGCGGGAAGGCCCCGCGCAAACAGCTGGCCACCAAGGCGGCCCGCAAGAGCGCACCGGCCACAGGCGGCGTCAAGAAGCCGCACCGCTACCGGCCTGGAACCGTGGCTCTGCGCGAGATCCGCCGCTACCAGAAGTCCACCGAGCTGCTGATCCGCAAGCTGCCCTTCCAGCGCCTGGTGCGCGAGATCGCGCAGGACTTCAAGACCGACCTGCGCTTCCAGAGCTCGGCCGTCATGGCGCTGCAGGAGGCGTGCGAGGCCTACCTGGTGGGCCTGTTCGAGGACACCAACCTGTGTGCCATCCACGCCAAGCGCGTCACCATCATGCCCAAAGACATCCAGCTCGCGCGCCGCATTCGCGGAGAGAGGGCATAGGCTTAATGCGAGTGCTAGTCCCGAACCCAAAGGCTCTTTTCAGAGCCACTTCTTTATCACTGATTGGCTGTTGCACTACTTCGTTAGGTGTTAGAAGCACGTTAGTGCAGAACTACACGGGGAAGGAGGTCTATGGCTTCTGCCAAGACTAGAACTATTTTTTTCCTCAGGCGAAGTGGATTGAAGAATTGGCAAGGTCTGGTGTATAGTCCAGTTGCTGAGTGGTAGTTAGAAAGAACAACGCCACACAGTTAAACTCACCACTTGGGTCCTTAAGTTGCCCACATGTGAAAAGCAGAAAGAAAGGGCCCTCCCTCAGGAAAGGAACTGTCCAACATATACACATGGGGTTCAGTGTATAAGGTAACCGGCACCCCCTTCCCCACCTTGCACATTTACAATCTGGCAGTAGAGTTCTGCTTAACTTAGCTTTCTGATACCTTCCCCGCATGGGGAAGGCCACCATACACGTTTTAATTGTCCCATGAAAAGCTGACTCATTTCAACTCAAGAAACTGGGTTAGTACCTGGTGACCCTATAGGATAAAGTTCCAGGGCTTGAGAGAAAATTAGCAAATGAGCCCTCTGGCCTTCTTTTTTTTTTGCAAGCTTCTGGAATCGTAGTGCAGACTGAGTAGCAGTCCCAGGCACCGTTCTAGGGAGATCTGGTTGCTGAGCTCTGGAAACCACCCTATGACATCCTGGTGACCTCCCTGAGGCTGAAGCCACATCGGGGCCTTTCCTATGACTTACGCCTCACATGACACATGTATGAAATACTGCCTCCAACAGAGCGTTCAAGGCCAAATATTTGTTCTACTTTCTGTTGTAACCCTAGAATAAAAGAAAATGCCTAATACAGGGCAGATGGTCAATAAATTGTAGTGAAATGAATGTTACTAATTTGCCACCTTTTACACCAAAAATTCCTCCCGTTTAGTCGCAGGTAATGAGTGCTTCCTACCTTCTGCATCACACATTTCATCCTAGATGCTTTTTGTCACCACTTCTGTCACATGGGAAATAGGTATAATATGGACAATTATATAAAGTTTTACAGTTTTCAAAGTATTTTCACATGTATGTGAATCTGACAATAGCTCCCAGACATTGCTATTCTATCTAGCTCTAGAAAAGCTTGTTTTTCCCAAAGGCCTTCAGGTGATAAAGCCAATGCAGGTTTCTTTTAACACACCTGGGAAGGGAAGGAGGCAGTGAGATTAAGCCCAATGGCTGTAGAAAAACAGGAGAATTAGGGTTTCTGTTTTTCACTTACCTAAGTGGCCTGACAGAGGATTTATAGGAGATGTCAGTGCTGTGTTAGAAACTATGCTTTGAGTGTAGTAGTTTATTCCAACCTTGAAGAAAAAAAGTCTTCATTTTTAAATGGAGACAACAGAACGGCTAGCAATTACATGAAGGGTTTTTAAACTGCATCTTTAATTACATCTGTAAATTAAAACAACAGTGACATACTAGACAACACCCAGCAGATTATCAAAATCAGAAAGTGGGGTTTACCAAGTGTTGCATGAGAGGTGGAGAAACTTTTATGTGATGGTTACTGATGGTAGTTTTACACAAATGTTTTGAAGTATGTTTTTTAAGATTTAATCTTTATTGTATTTTTACCATTACCATTTAGTCCCCTTATACTACCCTCTCCCTCCAAAGAACTTTCTAACTTACTTCGTAAAACTGTGTTTTACTAAGGCCTGTGCCACAAGGAAATTCTCCTGTAGAAATGTAAGAGGATAAATCATGAATGTTCATCAAAATGTTATTTGTGATGACAAAACAATAGAAGCAATTTAAGGGAGTGAATAAATAAAATATTCCCTTCTAAGGTCAAGAAACAAATGGCAAAAGCAAGAGCTGAACCCAAAGCCCAGTTAATCTTGCTGCTCTTACTCAGGTCACACCTGGACATCTGAGCCAGCATCTCCAACTTGTTTTCTGTCTTGACTTCCAAATAACCTAGAATAAACACCAAAACCAAAGGCACCAAATCTGAGTACTTTTTATACATGGCTTGCCAAACACCAGTGGCCGAGCCCGTCAGGCTTGCACACCAGAAAGCCGGAGGGAGAGGTGACAGAAGACCCCACGTTAGGGAATCTCCTTTTCATCCTGATTCTTGTTCTGTCAATATCCAACCCCGAAGATATTAGCAAGAGGAGGTGAACGAAAGAAAACCAAAGTTTCTGGCAGGTATTGTTTGATATATTCCAGGCATGGAAATCAGATAAATTAAGGGAGGTTTACAATAGAACATAAAGACCATTGGTGGTCATATGTACAAAATTGCAGAAACGTGGTAGAGTTTTAGGTAAAACAAGGAGGGAGTGTCAGGCATGAAAAGCTTTGTAAATTCAATACTTTTGGGTCTTGAGAGAGTTTCAGGAGGAAGTAAGGGGTACCCTGGAAATTAGTTTTGAGGCCATGAGCAGACAAGACCATGAGAGAGTGAGCCTTAGAGAAGGAGTGGTAAGTAAGATGAGGGGAGGAGTCCAGGGAAGGCACTGGATTCTGTGTCTCCACATTTCTTTCATCGATATTTATAGCACACGGAGACAATAGAAACTCAGAGAAGTTCAAGGATCAGAGCCGAGGTGGTGATTGCTCTCAGGTGGGAGCAAGAAGGGGCATTCCACGCTTCTGTGCCTTGTAGTTAGTTCAGTTTCTGACTTGAACACAGAGAGTTGGGAGGGGAGAACTGAGTGTGTAAGTTCATGGAGTGGAAACTACTCTAAAAGGGCTTATGTGTGAATGTGGGTGTGTTTTCAGGAGAGAAAAAAGAGAACTATTAATTACTAGTAAGTAAAATAAGAACAAGAGATAAGTACAAGAGACATAAAACACAACCTACCAGCCAATCCCAAAGTCTCAACCCAAACACACAAAACAAAATCAGGTGTCAAAAAGATAAATACAAGGTATAACAAATTAAATATATAACACTATTGAAAATGGTTGCCTCTAACACTTGAAACTAAGAACCTAAAAAATTTTCAAGTAGACAAGTGTGGATGAGTAAGCAACCCTCAGAACATTGCAAAGGAAAGCATAGCTCATTTATTTATCCGATTAAAGGAGGAGAGAATTCTATGAAATTTAAAGCACTGCCAAATTTCTCTTGGAAAGAATATGTACCCTGTTGTGTGTGTGTGGGGGGGGGGGGATAAACTATTCCCGTTATTCAACAAGAATTTATTGGGCAACTCATGTCAAACAGCATCATTATTTGCTGAGAAAGACAAAAAGAGCACATTTTAATAGTACTTCAACAGAGAGAATTACACGTTTGAGAAACATAGGTGTGAATGTCGATATCATTTCCAGAGTAAAAAGCAAGGTTACGTCACCAGATAAGGGAGCACTGGTAAATTTTCTCCGCGTTTACAGAACAATTGTAGTCCCCACCTTATCCTCGGAGGACAACTTTCTAGACCCCCCGGGTGGATGCCTGAGTTCTGAGCGACAGTTTCACCTGCTCTTGTCCTCTCCAAGGAAACAGTGCATAAAAGCTGACCTTCCTCAAACAACTTTAGAAACCTAAAGTGTTTCTAACCAAGATGAAAGAAATATATAAAAGTTGCCCCTCTCTCCCCCCCAAGCAAGGGAAGAAAGGGAAAAGAAGGCGAAAGAACGCAGAGCAGGGAAGGAAAAGGGTAGACAAGCAAAGCTGAGAAGTGACGATTCCCACCTTGAAGCTTTCCATAATCAGGGACATTACATGGAGTCAGACCCTATACAGGCTGATTCAGTAAAGTTTTAAACAGAAAGCACTTTGCATACGAGGCTTCACAAATAACCCAGATGATGCAATCACCGCCGTTGGATCAGGCACCTCAGATCTAGCAATCATAATCGGTAATGCTGTGGATGCTAAAAGGTGACAGAAAAAAAGAGCAAGACCTGGCCCAGACAAAGGAATGTCCTTCCAGGGCCAGGGAAGCCCAAAACACTGTAGAAGGAGCAGCCGGACGGAGGAGTTTTTAATTAGGCTTTTGCATTTGTTTTATTTCTCAATTACAGTTGAGAAGCAATATTATATGAGTTTCAGGTGTACAACATAGCGATTATACATTTACACGCCTTATGAACTGGTCACCTCGATAAGTCTAGTAGGACCGGTCTGACACCATGAATAGTTATCACAATGTTATGGACCATAATCCTTCAGCTATATTTACATCCCAGTGAGTATTTTTTAACTGGCAATCTGTATTTCTTTTTCTAAAGATTTTATTTACTTACTTTTAAAGAAAGGGGGAGAGAGGGAGAGAAACATGAATGGGTGAGAGACACATTGATCAGCTGACTCACATTCCCCCAACTGGAGACCTGGCGCACAGCCTAAGCACAGGCCCTGACCCGGGATGGAACCGGCAAGCTTTCAGTTCGCAGGCCTGTGCTTAATCCACTGAGCCTCACCAGCCAGGGTGCAATTATATTTCTTAATCTTTTTCTCTCCAATCCCCCAAATCCCCTCCCCTCTAGCAACTATCAATTTTCCTCTATATCTAGGACTTATTTCTATTTTATGTTCATTTATTTTTTAAAATTCCACATGTGAATGAAATCTTATGGTGTGTATTTGTCTTTATCTGACTTATTTCACTGAGCATAATACCGTCTAGATCCATCCATGTCACAAATGGCAAGATTGCATTCTTTTTTTAGTGGTTGAATAACAATTATATAATGTACCACATAGTAATCCAATTGTCTATTGATGGACACTTATGTTGCTTCCATATCTTGGCTATTGTAAATAATGTTTCAAAGAACATAAAAGAATGCATCTACCTTTTAAATTAGTGTTCCGGATTTCTTTATATAAGTACTCAGAAGTGGGATTACTGTGTCACATGATAGTTCTACTTTCCATTTTTTGAAGAACCTCTGTAACTTTTTCCACAGCAGCTGCACCAGTTTACAATGCCACCATCAGTGCACGAGGGTTCCCTTTTCTCCACATCCTCACCAGCATTTGCTGTTTGTTGATCTATTGATGGTAGCCATTCTAACAGGTGCCTGGAGACATCTTATTTTGGTTTTCATTTCTTTTTGATAGTGTTATTGGTGTATGCAAATACAAATGATTTCTGAATATTAACTCTGCATCCTGCTACTTTACTAAGTTTGTTAGTTCTAATATCTTTTAGGTGTAATCATTAGGAGTCTCTGAATATAGTATCCTGTCATGTGCAGATAATGAGTGTTACTTCTTACCTTCCAATTGGGATGCCTTTAACTTCTTGTCTGGCTGTGGTGGCTAAGACTATTTATACAATGCGGAATAAAAATGGTGAGAGTGCACATCCTTGTCTTCTTCCTGAAAAATAAAGAAAAAGTTTTCAGCTCTTCATCCCTGAATACGATGTTAGCTGTAGTTTTTTCTAAACCAGGCGGTTTAATGAAGCACCGCCCTTTTCATTTTCAGAAAAAGCGCGGGGCGGGAGAAAGCTGACCAATACGTTCTCAAACAGGTCCGCAGAAGAAGTATATAAGGCATCGCATGCAAGCCTCAAGAGGTTGGTTGTTTCGTTGGCAAACATGTCTGGTCGCGGCAAAGGCGGGAAGGGTCTGGGCAAAGGGGGCGCCAAGCGCCATCGCAAGGTGCTGCGCGACAACATCCAGGGCATCACCAAGCCAGCCATCCGGCGTCTGGCCCGCCGTGGCGGCGTCAAGCGCATCTCCGGGCTCATCTACGAGGAGACCCGCGGGGTGCTCAAGGTCTTCCTGGAGAACGTGATCCGGGACGCCGTCACCTACACGGAGCACGCCAAGCGCAAGACGGTCACGGCCATGGACGTGGTCTACGCTCTCAAGCGCCAGGGCCGCACCCTCTACGGCTTCGGCGGCTGAGACACCCCTCCCCGCCACAATAACATTTCCCCCCAAAGGCCCTTTTCAGGGCCGACCACTTTCTCTGAGGAAGAGCTGTATGTGTTTCCTGTTCTTTGCGGGGTATGTGTGCTGGAACAAAAGCAACCAGCATTTCCTGTCCTGACGGGAGGGCACGGGAATACGGCGGCCCTCTTGTTCTCTCCACCAGGGACCTTAACCTCTTGTACCCTGTGGGAGGACCCACCTTTGGCCATGGTTGATGACTAGGCAGTTCCTAGAAGTCAGTGTTATAATTCGGGTATCTAACTTTTAAATTTTTTTAGTATAGTTTATTGATTATGCCATTACAGTTCTATTTCCCCCTTCATTCCCCTCCACCCTGCACACTCCCTCCCCCACCATTTCCCCCTTTAGTTTATGACCACGTGTCTCAAGTTCTTCAGATTCTATATCTCCCCAACTATTCTTGCCCACCCCTATCTATTTTCTACCTACCACATAAGCTACTTATTCTCTGTACCTTCTCCCCCCTTCTCCCACTCCCCTGTTGCTAACCCTCTATGTGATCTCCATTTCTATGGTTCTGCTCCTGATCTAGCTGTCCTCTTAGTTTGCTTTTGTTTTAGGTGTGGTTTTTAATAACTGTGAGTTTGCTGTCCTTTCACTGTTCATCTTTTTTATCTTCTTTTTCTTAGGTAAGTCCCTTTAACATTTCATCTAACTTCTGAGGCCCGAGGCCTCACTTTGCTTTTCTTTGTGAAGGGGGACCTCCGTCCCGCGGACACAGCCTCTCCGCCTTCCCCTTTTAACTCACTGCCAGGGTAGCTGAGTGCGCGCTCAGGCGCCCTCTACGGCCCTTTCATTATGCAAAGGTGCTTCCCGCCACCCTGAAAATCTACTTAAGAGCTGTGGGCATTATATAAAATCCTTTATTTCTCAGAGCACCTACCTCAGATTAGGTAACATAAACGTTGGGAATTCAGTTAGGAACTTAAGTTGTGTAACTTCCACAGTTCGGCTGCATTTTGGTACCACCCGGCCTCTTCCCCATACCCAGTATGTCTATCACCCACTAATGTGGCAAAGTCTGTGACTCAAATCTACACCGCCTATTTTCATACCTTTATTGAAAGCTTATTGTGTCCACTAAATTGACGCCAATATCAAAAAGCGAGTAAATATCACGACTTTGTAGAGAAAAAGTTGGCCGGCCTTTGTTTTAAAATGAGCGATTCCTAAGCACACTCAAGCTTGAGAAGGCCGGCGCGGCACGCTGGCTAAAAGTTGAAACTACTTCCATTCCTCCGTTTAATTTATTCGTTTTCTCTTTCACGTTCATCAAACTATTACCAAGGAAACCATTGTGACACCTTTTATTTAAAGCAGTACAAAGAGCTCTCCAAGTTTCAAGACATTTTCTTAAGAAGTTTTAATCATCTAGAGGATAAAAACCAGTAAGCTGTTTTCTTAGTACACTCTATTTTTTAAAAATTTATTTAATTATTGTTCAAGTACAGTTTTCTGTCTTTTACTCCCATTCCAGTCACCTCCCCCAGTGCTCCCCACCTCCCTCCCATTCCCCCCCCCCCCCCCTTAGTTTTTGTCCATGAATCCTTTATACTTGTTACTGTGATTCCTTAGTACATTCTTGCAGAGACCTAACAGGCGAGAAAATGTTTCCTTTGCTGACAAGTAAACCAAGAACTAATTCGGAAGGGAGGAAGTGGGAGGAGCAGGTCTCATCGAATCAGAAAGCGAGAGTTGCTATAAATACTGCATTGGCTGTGTTTGTTCCCTTTACCTAAGACTGTTGCTCTTGTGTAGTTATGGCTCGGACCAAGCAGACAGCGCGCAAGTCCACCGGCGGGAAGGCCCCACGCAAGCAGCTGGCCACCAAGGCGGCCCGCAAGAGCGCACCGGCCACAGGCGGCGTCAAGAAGCCGCACCGCTACCGGCCCGGAACCGTGGCCCTGCGCGAGATCCGCCGCTACCAGAAGTCCACCGAGCTGCTGATCCGCAAGCTGCCCTTCCAGCGCCTGGTGCGCGAGATCGCGCAGGACTTCAAGACCGACCTGCGCTTCCAGAGCTCGGCCGTCATGGCGCTGCAGGAGGCGTGCGAGGCCTACCTGGTGGGCCTGTTCGAGGACACCAACCTGTGTGCCATCCACGCCAAGCGCGTCACCATCATGCCCAAGGACATCCAGCTTGCGCGCCGCATCCGTGGGGAGAGGGCTTAAGTGTTTCGGTGTTCCACAGCTCTATACTCCACCCCTAAAAGGCTCTTTTCAGAGCCCATCAATTCTCATCGATAAAGAGCTGTCGGCTCGGAGAAAACATGGGCACTTTGAAAAGCTGCTTTTGAATTCCAGTTTGCGGGGTGCAGAATGTACTTGCTACCGGCAGCTGGTTGTGCCTGTAAACTCTGCTTCTGATGGGTGGCTGGACTTGCTCATTCACCTCACCCGTGAGCACCGTGAGAAATGCTTTCTGAATAAAGCATAACTGATTCTGTTAGTGTATAACTTAAACATAGTCGGTCAGGAGAAATGAAGGGCTCCTCAAAATTTTGAGGAATTTAGTTTATTATTGTGGGTTATGCAGTTAAAATGCAATTTAATTTTTAAAAAGTTTTTCAGTGCCTTCATTTAAGAGGTGTACTTATTTGCTTTCCTGACACAGCGTTCCGAGTGTTCAAAACCTTTCTAGCTTTTGTTAACATGTGCTGACAAGTGTTGCTGTCCCTTTGTATACAAGACTGGGAAATGTGGAGATGACCGTTAGCACCTTAGGCTGTCCTCTGTAAGACGGATTCCCCATGTCCCCCTAAATTGTAAGAACTTGGCCTAAGTATTTCAAATATGTGCTTGTCAGTCTATGTTTGAGTTAAATTATTTTTTTTTCAACTAGGGATTAAATCTGAGATGCTGTTGTTAAAGCTGTTCATTTCCAGTCATAATTTGCTTTTTCAGCCAAACTCAGCTGATTATCTTGTCCAATATTTTCAGCTTTTTATTCTCCTTGTGTTCTCTTCCCATATGACTCAATGCTTCATTGCTGCTCACCCCTTTGGGGGCACATCCAAACTCCGGAGGGAGTGGAGTTATATGCAGGCAATATTTCTCCAGAGAGTTTTCAGTCAGGTCAGCCATCTGGGCCACTTCTCCCTGATTTTGGATTTACCCACTCAGAGAGGTTTACCTGTATATCCCAACTATTGGCGCCTTTAGCTTTTTGAATGGTCTCTAAATTTATTCAGCAAAAACTCTGCCTGTTGGGCCCAGAAGCTTTTTCCAACAGATTAGTTTGGAGCTCTGGTCGTCGCTGTCAGGAGTAGGCACAACTGGCTGTTTCCAGCTTCTCATTATAATAGCCCCAGCTGATCTGTATTCAAACCTCAGAGCCACCAACTGTTAGCTGTGTGACCTTTGACAAGTTACCCATTCTCTTTCCTAGCCTCATCTTATACAGGTATAAAAGGTGGCAAATGAGTTAAAAGCTGTACAGCATCCTTAGATTAGCTCTTGGCTTTTAGTAAATGCTCCCTGTGCATTAGCTCTTATTATACCTGTCTCTCTCCTGCCCCTAAATAATGGAGGAATCCACCTCCCAACCCCCTAGCTTTTCTAAAAGTTTTGTGATTGAAATAGTAGAAAGTGCTTGGTTAGAATATCTTCTTGACATCTTTTCATTATATTGTAATTCAGATTGTTCTGAAAGAGGCTGGCTTGTAGCAGTATACCTCAGTGTATGACTATGTGGATGAGCACAGTAAAAGGGCCAGATAGTAATTATTTTAGGTTCTGCTGGCCACATGTGGTCTCCATCACATTTTCTTCCCAACACAAAAAAAATCCAAACACCACTTTTAGATTGAGGATCTTAGAAAAACGGGCCACTGCACAAATGGCAGTCATTGGCTATATCTTCAATTCCAGGATGCCCTTAAGAGAAGTGTGTTGGTTATTTCATTATTAAGTATTTCACGGAGAACACCAAGTACTGTGGATTGCATCGGAGGTGACAATCATCATTTGATGTCCCTTACCCTCAGGTTAGGCACAAATTATTGTCCGTTCCCCACTGTACCATGTTCCTTTGAAGCAAATAGCAAACTTCTCCACCTGCCATTTCAAACTCACGGTCATTGCCTCAGTTCCATGGGATGTGAAGTTTTCCTGAATTCTGAGTTCAGGAAATGCACACTTCTCATATAAAATAGCCAATTATTTTTTTTATAAAATACAGGCCTATGGCTGCTTAAAACAATACCAACATTGATGTCTCCTGTCTGCTTACAGATGAGAGTGTTCCTGACGCCACAATTTGGTCATGCTGATGGACATAAGAAGCTAATGGACACGATGGATGGGAAAAGCTCCTGGGAAATAGGAAAGTCCCATTAATGCTTCTGATACCCACTGGAAGCCCTTGATTTTTATTTTTTATTTTTGGCAGGGTGGAGTGTTTTCTAAAACATTTACTGGGCTAAACATTTTTTATCCTTATTTTAATAGATTCGGAAGGAACTAAGGAGAGAATGCATCTCAATCAAGTACTCCAAATTTAAGATTTAATTTGAATCTAGGTCTTTGGATCCTGGCACCAAAGTAATTTTTATACCCCTGATGCAGCTGAACTTTTCTAAACTGCAAATTACCTGTCTCTAAAGATATAGGTGCGTGGAAAGTCCTAAGAAGCAGGACTGGTCTTCAAAGCAACCTGCTGCTCTGAGTTTGTGTTCCTTGTTGTGTTTAGAAACAAAGTTTACACCCACACCAATTATCCCAGTGTCTTTCCTCTTGTAAAAATGAAAGAGCAAAAGTAGGAACAAAGCTTTCTTTTAAAAAAGTTCACTTGATACCTAGTAGAAAATTTTATCCCATGAAACTAAGTAGCACGATGCCCTTAAGCAGATGGACTTGAAGACCAAAGAGATTTTTAAAAATATATTTCATCGGTGATACATGATTCAAAAAAAAAAAAAAAAAGAGTCAGTGTCCGGAGACTGCTTTCCTACTTTGGTGTTTTAAATCGTCTCATTTTGTACCTCTGTTTTCACCATTTAATCAGGTTTTTGGGATTAAGCAACACAATTACAAACACAATTTGGAAGTCCAACCGCTAAAGGCGGCCGCCTGAGGGCGGTGGATAGGACGCCCCACCAATCACATCGCAGCGCTGGCTTATATAAGCCCGGGCCCTAGGTGGGCAGCCCTAGAAACTGGCTCTTTGGATTTTGAGTCTCTCCTCCTTCTTCAGCAGCTTCTCCAATCGTCATGTCGGAAACGGCTCCCGCAGAGACCGCCGCGCCGGCGCCGGTGGAGAAGTCCCCAGCCAAGAAGAAAGCGGCCAAGAAGGCGGCGGGAGGGGGCGCAGCGAAACGCAAAGCGTCCGGGCCGCCGGTGTCCGAGCTCATCACCAAGGCTGTGGCAGCCTCCAAAGAACGCAATGGCCTTTCCCTGGCAGCGCTCAAGAAGGCGCTGGCGGCCGCGGGCTACGACGTGGACAAGAACAACAGTCGCATCAAGCTGGGTCTCAAGAGCCTGGTGAGCAAGGGCACCCTGGTGCAGACCAAGGGCACGGGCGCCTCAGGCTCCTTCAAGCTGAACAAGAAGGCGGCTTCTGGTGAAGCTAAGCCCAAAGCTAAGAAGGCTGGCGCGTCCAAACCCCGTAAGCCAGCAGGGTCTACCCCCAAGAAGCCCAAAAAGGCTGCAGGGGCCAAGAAACCCGTCAAGAAAACTCCTAAGAAGACGAAGAAGTCAGCGGCTGGTAGCGTGAAGAAGGTGGCTAAGAGTCCTAAAAAAACCAAGGCGGCTGCAAAGCCCAAGAAGGCAGCCAAGAGTCCGGCTAAGCCCAAGGCTGTGAAGCCTAAGGCGACCAAACCTAAAGCCGCTAAACCCAAGACAGCCAAGCCCAAGGCTGCAAAGGCTAAGAAGGCGGTTCCGAAAAAGAAGTAGGAGGTGGGCCTTTTCAAAGGCATTGAAACCCAAAGGCTCTTTTCAGAGCCACCCCAGACGTCTCTGGAAACAGCTGCGCACTCGAGCACTTTACAAGACTTCGCACTTTACAAGACTTAGCTAAATCTTGTAATCTTACTGCCTGATTGAATGCAGGTTTAAACGCTATGCCCTTGCAGCGTGAACACCTAGTGTCCCCGTCCCCAAAGTACATTGAAAGAACGCTTGGTTTACGTCTTATGAGGCATCCCCACAATTTGGATGGAGGGGAAGGATGTCTTGAGGCTCGATGGTAAGTGCCCAGCAGCTCCTTGCAAATGGCGAACTGCTGTCCTGGGCGGCGTTTCCCGCCATCACCAGGATAGTGATCATCAGCTACTATATAGAGCACGGCCGCCAGGTACACGGGCGAGCTGGCTCCACGTAGGTGCCCTTTCCGAGCAGGCGCTGTACCTTACCCTCCGGTAACAGCAACGCGACCCGCGACGAGCACATCTAGCCCTTGGTTAGCACCCTGCAGCCCTGTTTGCTGCCTATGGACATTCTGAGCTCAGAATTCCCACTATTACTATATAAAAATAAAAGTGCAGAGACGTCGCTTTTTATATACGTTTTTTGGCGCGAAAAAGCAGCTATAGTCCCTGATTAAGATGTCAAGATTCATCTTAACCAATGAAAATGCAAATTTGGCATTCTTCCATTCTGATTGGACACCAAAAAAATCCTTTGTTCTGAATAGCCAATCACACACTGTACTTTATCACCTTATTTGCATGCTAGATTCTATATAAAATTGGACACGTTGCACTCTTCAATTTCTCTTTTTTTTTCTTTGTTTGATTTTCTCCTGTGTGTTTTCTATTATGCCCGAGCCCGCCAAGTCCGCTCCCGCCCCGAAGAAGGGCTCCAAGAAGGCCGTGACCAAGGTACAGAAGAAGGACGGCAAGAAGCGCAAGCGCAGCCGCAAGGAGAGCTACTCGGTGTACGTGTACAAGGTGCTCAAGCAGGTGCACCCGGACACGGGCATCTCGTCCAAGGCCATGGGCATCATGAACTCCTTCGTGAACGACATCTTCGAGCGCATCGCGGGCGAGGCGTCGCGCCTGGCGCATTACAACAAGCGCTCGACCATCACGTCCCGGGAGATCCAGACGGCCGTGCGCCTGCTGCTGCCTGGGGAGCTGGCCAAGCACGCGGTGTCTGAGGGCACCAAGGCCGTCACCAAGTACACCAGCTCCAAGTAAACTCGAAAGTACGTTTTTTTCTGTTAACACCAAAGGCTCTTTTAAGAGCCACTTAAGTCTTCTAAGAGAGCTGTTACTTTATACATTGGGGAACTGTGTTTGTTGCAAAGACCAAGTTTCCCAGTCCTTTTTTCGGTTCTGTTACTAACAACTTCCTTACAACGTAGTGGGTGCTGTGGCAATCCTTGATACAGTTTTAATGAATCTAGGCCAATTAGAATCAGGTTCATTAGCAGACAAGTGCAATGAAGGAAAATACCCTTCTTCTGAAAACAATCTAGTCACCTTCAAAAAATGTCAACCTGGCTTTTGGTGTCTTAAGACTGTTTTTGAGTGCTATATCCCTGGTTTAATGTGTACCTAATAAAATTATAGCTTGACACACATTAAAAATAGTCTTATTCGGCTATGGGGGGATAAGGTGGAGCAATGTTGGTTCTTATACCCTTTTGCTGAGTGTTGATTTCCCAATTATCACATTAGAAAACAAAAGAAAAAGAAATGGAAGCGAGAAACCAAGCTTTCTTTCTAATAAACCAGTGATAATCCAACACAGACACTGCCACTATTGTGTGAAATAAACCACAGATTTCCTGTGCGATTCTGTCCTGATTGGAGACTTCTGGGCAGTGAAGCTTTGTTGAAGGGACTGCCATTTTACCCACTTTCTCATTTCTGAGTGAAATTATTCTTTATAGGAGGAGTTACATTTATTCCCTATTTTTCCTGTCAAATCTGCTCCATGTGTTTTTCTGTTTCTCTTGCATGCGCTGTTTCTCTACTAATTGGAAGAAATTTAAAAAATTAGAAAATAGAGCAAAAGGGAAAGAAAGGCACTGGGCAGGATTTGATAGCTGCTGCTGACTGCATCCCTGCCCTGGGGCCCTCTGTCTGTCCCTGTGGCTGTGGCAGCTGTCATTCAATGGCACAAAGAGAAAAATAAACTAAAGACCAGTTGGGCCATTACATATCTCCAATCATAAGTCAAAAATCTATGTCTCCAGTGTAAGCACTTAGGAATGGCATAGGAACTTAAAACTATTTTGGTTTTTTGCTTAGCATCAGCATGGGAAGGTTTCCATTAACAAATTGTTTTTGCTGAAAGTTCTTGATGATGCCCTTTATTCAATTATGGTCCTCCAGGGGCTCAACAATTTTACTCCCAGATGTTTACACCAAAATATTCTGCACGCTTGTAACCAGAGACATGCAACAGAGCAGTGCTGTTTTTAATAGCAAAGTAATAGAAGAAAGCACACGTTCATGGCCAAAGGAAGAAATACACTTATTGATGTGCATTCACACAGTGGGATAGCATATAGCAGAGAAAATGACTGAAATACACACTCAGTTGAATTTTAGAAACAAATCTCAGGTTGACATGTGGTAGTTTTTCATAGAGCTAGAAAATAAAACTAAATTTCTATTATGTAAGCATACATAGAAATACATGTGTGTGATTTAAAAAATTTTAAGGGGTAGCTTCATGAATAAATGTTTTAATATATGTGGCAGTGGATACCTCTGTAATACAGGCAGGCTCAGAGATAAATGCAAGTCATACATAAGAACTTTGAAGCTTCATTTATGTTATCACAAGGAAATCTGATGATAACTCCACATCTAATGGTATTTCTCTAGGTAATATGACTTCCTTTTAGAGAGTAGGGGATAAAAGACTGACAGAGACCAGGAAATGATTTCGAATACTTAAGATTTCAGCTACAATTAGTCAGCATCCAATCTTCTCCATGTCTGGTAAACTCCCTGTTTACCCAGCTTCTCACAAAACCTGACACCTCTGTGCAGGTAACATGTATGTGTTTGTATGCACATGCATGTATTCTATAATTCCACATATTTAAGGAACTGTGTGTGTCTAACCCTCCCCCAATTGTTAGAAGGGAAATTATACTTTTTAAAATGTGTCTTCTCTCTTTCCATGTCTCTCAAGATATTTGAGGACAGTGAAGTTACCATCACATTTGGGATTTTTAAATCACCAATTTCAAAACATACGTGCCTTTGATCTTATCCATTAGTGCACTAACGCAGATAATAAGAATGACAATCTGGTATTGTTTTGCTTTTCAGAATGAGGGAAACAGCAGTTAATATCCGAGGAGGAAATGGGAACAGGATCCAGAGGGAGTAAGTTACCTAAACACATATATCCAGGGCCGAAGAGTGTATGTACATGTGTACTTTGTACCAGGCACTGCTTGAATGACCTTGAATTGTCAGCAGGGAAGATGTCTAAATATGGAGGAGGGTGCCCAAAGTCTGCAGAATGAGAGGCACGTGCAGAAGGTATTTTGGTCCCTCTAGATGAGGTTCACCGTCAGATTCCTTTCACTCCAGTACTTAGAAAGTTAAAATTCTTAAAATAAAGGGGAGAGAATGAGTATAAATTCAGTCATCCAGGTTAATTTGTGCCACTGCTGAGCAGACGTGGGAACTGATTTCGGCCAGTCCCAACCAGGATGTCACTTTGTTTGCATTGGAATTTATACCTGTTTTCTGCAAGAATTCACTTGATTTGACTCAAATAATTTTTCTCAATATTTTTTCCATGAAGAACAATTTATAGAACAGAAAGAAAAAACTGGAGCATAGAAATAGGTGAGAAAATCTGATCCTAAAGGACAGCTTTCTCCAAGCCGTCACCAAGTAGACCGATGTTCTGCTCCATGCTTGCTAGCTAGGTACTTCAGTGAGCTTGTGATTCTCTTAATGGTCTGCAAAATAGAGATGACAACGACAAGGTCCCAGTATTTTTTAGGACATTACGAGATGATGTACATGGATTCCAAGCATGTTCTTGGGACCTGGATGAGATACAAATGAAAAAGTTACAATGCACAGTGCATTACATAGATTTTTTTTCCTTCAACAAAATAATTATTGAAAAGTCTAAGAAACAAGTATGACTATAAGTATTTTCCACAATGTGAGCTTCTTAAGTTATACAGATTTATATTTTCTGACAGATATAGCACAGTGGCTCAGTGAAATCATACATTAATTATAATACATTAATTAAACCAACAGTTTCCTGGACCTGTATCAAGTACCAGGAGATCCCAGGAAATTATGGTAAATAGTATGTCAACTCTGGTGTTTAAAATGTTGAAATAGAGAGTGATGATGTCATTTTCTTTTCTATATCCCTTAAATCTTTCTGTGTCAGCAACTGGTAAACTGTCAATTAGATATGGACAGGCGATGAAATCTTGACTGACACCCACCCTGTCCCTTTTGAACTTTATAACAAAGAACAGGTCTCAAGCTCAAGGCAAGAAGCAGTAAATAGTATATAACTGGAAATGAATAATGTTTTTAAAAAACATTGTTCCATAGTTACTTTCTGTCCATGGTCAGAGAAATTTTCACTAGGGTAGTGATGTAAAGTTGTCTTTTAAAATATTATTTTCTAAAGAAAAAAATTAAGTAGGTAACAATTTAGGTTGTATCCAGATACAGCAAAAAGAAATCAATTGTGTAAGTGGAACTAAAGTGACTGAAGTTTGAACAATACTGAATAATATATGCAGCCTCATAAAACAGGCAGAATACTTTTGTTATACTTCTACATAAATTGTATATCTATACCTATTACATATGTATATAATTATTAAATATTATCTAAATATGTATTATATATCCTTAATGTCAAATATAGTCAATATGATATTAATTTAATATTAACTGCTGCAGCAACTTAGAGTAAATATGAATCTGGAATGTGACAATCTGGGAAAATTTCTTGAAAGAGGTATAACAAGGTTCAAGCTTGAAAGAAAAGATTTTAGTTGGTATACTATCAGTGAGATATGTTGTGTGACACAAAACTCCAAAATTTAGCAGTTTAAGACCACAAAGATTTATTACCTCACGGAGTCGGAGGGTCAGGAACGTGCCAGCAGCTTGGCTGGGTGGCTGTGGTGCAGGGTCTCTTCGGAGGATGCAGTCAAAGACTCTGATCATTTAAAGGCACTGGAGCTTCCGAGGTCTAAAAAGGGGCTCCCTTCTGACGTTACTGGCTGGAGGCCTCAGTTCCTCCCTGTGTGAGTGTCTGAAGGATCACTCATGCAAGAGCTGGCTAATGGAAGTCTCTCATCTAACCTTGGAAGTGGCCTACCTTCTGCCACATGTGTAGGAAAGGCTCAGCAAGGGAGCAGTTTGCACAAGATGTGTTGCTGCTTTAGAGGTTGCTTCCCACAGATCAACCCTCCCAGCCACCATACCCCCTGGGGGATTTCAAATATCCTTGATGCCCAGATGCTCCTCTGGTCAATTAAATTAGAATCTCTGCGGTTGGCCTGGGTAGTGCTATAGTTTTCAAAATTCCGTCAGTGATTCTGATGCACTGTTAAAGCTAAGAATCACCAGATGCAAGAGTGAGAAACTGGGGGCATAAAGCTGATCAAGTGGGAGCAGCCATTTCTTTCCTACATTGTATGGAGAATGGAGAACAGCCATAAGGTAAATATTAGGAAATAATCACACCATTGTGTGACATCACAACAGTGCCAACTTTAGAAACAGTGTTGACTGATGTAAAAAAGAAATGGTCTAATATTAAGTCCTATAAATGTTCCGCGTATGTTCCCAGCCACCACCTCCGGGCCAGAGGGAACGGTCATGGCCTTTGCAGAACTGTCTTTTGCTCCCTGAGATCATAAATCCAGCCCAAATTGTGTGCTTTTTGTCCCAACAAGCCTGAGGCCTCCTGTATTTCATGGAAAAAGACTGAGCAAAAAATAGAGAGAAATACAGTAAAGGTTTTGGGATTTATAATCTTACCTAATGGTCTGTTGAATGCTAGGGACTCGTATTTCTACATCCATCCCTGAACAAGTAGAGTCAGACCTGGAATGCTAGCCTGCACACCGGGAGACCACGCTTCCCTCTGGGAGAAAAATGCTTCCCTGCCTCTCCTTCTTAACTCAAAAAGGCTGCCTGTTCATTTAGTTTCTCCCTTATTCGAGAAGGGGAAAAGGGATTAAGAGTGAGATGAAGTGTGGAGCTGACCTATATTCTAAACTTCCCCCTTAGAAAACGGTGACAGTGTCAAAATTGCAGTGAACTGGAACACCATCCTAGAAGGTGAAACATTAAAACATGAGTGAAGGTCATGAAGCAGGATTAAACCGCTTCTCCATGTTACTTCACCAGGAAGGAGATGCGGGTGGGGTGAGGGATTGTGGAGTCCTCGTCCGGGTACACGCACGTGTACAGAAAGCACCAGCGGAGAAATTAAAACTGCTCATCCCTAACTGGTGAAAAAAGGTGATTAGTTTTCTTTTTTCAAATTCTTCTTTCTCCAACTTTATCCCAACACCACTAGGTTATTTTGTGTGAATGTAGGCCTAGAGTAAGGCGGATACCAGCACAGATGTTACAAAAGAATAAGCAAAAGGGAATGGGAACAGGGGTGTGTCCCTTAATTCCATTTATGTGATAATCATAAAGCTTGGGGTGGGGGATGAAAATGGCGGTGTAACTGTAAAGGAAATTATCATTCAATAATGATTAACACTGAGTTGGTAACTTTTCTCACCTTAAAGAACACCTGAAATTTTCTAGTAAACAAATTTCCTCAAAGGAGGATTCTCAGCAATTGGACAATGAATGTTAAGTGAAATCATCTTTAAAAAGTTAAATTCCAGTGTTTTATGTCTCTTTCAATTTCCTCAAAAATTGATGGCATTCTTAACCATACAATGCTAAATATGGCTTTTGCCCAAAATAAGGAGCATTTTCCAAAGAGCTGAGATTAAAATCGTTCTTTCCTACCTCTTACACGAGATTGAGTGCCAGTTCTCTCTCCGAAATGTGCATGGCTCTGAAAAGAGCCTTTGGGTGTGAACAAGCCGGATCAGTCTCTCCGAGGAGGGCTCACTTGGCGCTGGTGTACTTGGTGACGGCCTTGGTGCCCTCGGACACCGCGTGCTTGGCCAGCTCCCCAGGCAGCAGCAGGCGCACGGCCGTCTGGATCTCCCGGGACGTGATGGTCGAGCGCTTGTTGTAATGCGCCAGGCGACGACGCCTCGCCCGCGATGCGCTCGAAGATGTCGTTCACGAAGGAGTTCATGATGCCCATGGCCTTGGACGAGATGCCCGTGTCCGGGTGCACCTGCTTGAGCACCTTGTACACGTACACCGAGTAGCTCTCCTTGCGGCTGCGCTTGCGCTTCTTGCCGTCCTTCTTCTGTACCTTGGTCACGGCCTTCTTGGAGCCCTTCTTCGGGGCGGGCGCGGACTTGGCCGGCTCGGGCATGGTCGGGAGAGACCGGCCAAAGTAACTGAAGAACAAGCGCAACGCTGCGCGAGTCCTCTGAGTTCACAGCCTCTTAAGGAAGTGGTGAGCAAACTTGCGTATCAATGGCGGTAACTCCAGAAACGTCACGTGAATACTGTCCAGTCAAAATAAGTGTATTTCAGAACGAGGATTTCATTGGTTGAAGTGAAAAGGCCTGTAACTTTTCGCCAATGGCACAGGTTGCCTTTCGTGCCCAGCAATGATTATAAATAAAGTAGCTTTGGATGTCTCAACTTATACTCAAGGAAGAGCACAAGTATTCTACGCGTTTTCTAGACACGGGAAGCAGGGCGGCAAGGCGCGCTCCTCCCAGGTTGGACTCCAGTTCCCCGTGGGCCGCGTGCACCGCCTGCTCCGCAAGGGCAACTACGCCGAGCGGGTCGGGGCCGGCGCGCCCGTCTACCTGGCGGCCGTGCTCGAGTACCTGACGGCCGAGATCCTGGAGCTGGCGGGCAACGCGACGCGCGACAACAAGAAGACGCGCATCATCCCACGCCACCTGCAGCTGGCCATCCGCAACGACGAGGAGCTCAACAAGCTACTGGGCAAGGTGACCATCGCTCAGGGTGGGGTGCTGCCCAAGAAGACCGAGACCCACCAAAAGGCCAAGTAAGCAGCAAGTGTGGAAATGAGTAAACAAAAGGCTCTTTTCAGAGCCACTTCTCCAGTTACTGAGAAGGTAGCACGACTTTATTGCACCTCTGATCGCTATTACTTAATTGCTAAGATTTATGACAACACTAGTAATTCCTAGAGCGGCGCGCTTTTTCTTTTACATTTCAGAAGTCGCATTTAGGGACTTGTATAAAAGATGTAATTGCTACATTATATTGGTATTCTAAGTAGGCCATAACTTCAAGCGCATGTAGAACCTAGAAGGCATTTTGACTCAAGGTAGTCACCCAGGTTTTTCTAGAAATCCGCTGTAGCTTAAGTGACAAGTAACATCAAATCGAAACATCTTTTGAGAGGACATAATGGTGATTTCCACAGACAACCCACTTTGTCAGCAGGAAGGTCACAGGTTATTAAGTAATATTTCAGATGTTTCTGACAGCCCTTGACTAATTTACACTACTTGATAGTACATTTATTACCATACTGGTATACCTAGGTGTCCACATGTTGTAACCATGATCATAGTAGTTGCTACTAAGTGAATTCCAAGAACACTGGTGATAGGTACCTGTATCTTGAAACATGTGAACAAACTTCCTATTAAATCTGAGGGTGTTTTGACAATAGGTCAGATTCTGGTATGTTTCTCATTTCTAAATTGGCATAGAAAGGTCTTTTTATTCTGGACCTTGGAAAAGAACATTTATGCCACTCCCAGTTTGCCATGTCAAGTGTAGGGTGAGCGGAGGCAGTCTGGCTTCCTCACCCAGGTGTCTGGGTGACTAAGGGTTGCAGTGTTCCCATGGAAGGGGCCTGATAACTAGTATTCTCACACCCTTGAGACCGGGCCTGTGAAACTTCCCGTAACATTAAGTGGGCTTGCATAGGCAGAATTACATTATATCATTTTCTGGCATTTTGCTGGCTTTGTTCACCTCTAGTACTTAAAGTAGTGGCTTTCCACTAGTGACACAGGTGCCATAAAGGGTGCCACGCTGGGGAGCAAGGGCCATGATGTGTGTCATGCAGGGAGACTCACAGCTTGCAGCTTGTGTGGCTCAGCCACCCATGAATAAAGACATGGCAGACATCCATCCATCCCAATGGCCCCATGAATATTTTTCTATCTGCAGAAATACAGTGAATTTGCCCAGCCTTGAATGGTCATGGTACATGAAGCATGCAGGCAGAATGACTCGACTTTTCTCTTTTTTTATAATGTATTTATGCTTTCAACAAACTTTTGTTTCACACTTAGGTACCGAGTGTTAGGAATGTGTTAGTTTGTAAGACACCGGTTGTTCTAAAGAAACAATGTAACAGGGAGTAACAAAAGTAAATACAGCACACTATGTAGCAAGAAATGTAGACACAAGGTATTAGGGGAGCATAGAGGAGGAGTCAGATCTGTGAGAGGCAACATCTAGTCTGAGGGTTAAAAGAAACTGGGAATTATAGGAATTCCATCACCAGACCATTTGTAATATATACAGCAAGTTCAATAAGTTGGATATTGGCACAAAGGCAGAGGTTAAAAGAGGTAGGAAGGAGCTGGAAGGGATCTGTGGGCCACTCCTATGCCTTAAGTATTTTTATATACTAATGACACCCAAATTTTTAAAATTTTAATCCCTTCACATTTTTCATTCAGCTCCCCAAGCCTCTCCCCTTGGACAGCTGTCAGTCTGTTCTCTGTATCTGAGTCTGGTTCTACTTTGTGAATTTATTTTGTTCATTAGATTCCATACATAAGTAAAATCATATGGCATTTGTCTTTCTCTTCCTGGTTTATTTCACTCAGCATAATAGTCTCAAAAAATATGGAACGCGTTACAGATTTTCGTACCATCCATGCACAGGGTCAGTGCTAATCTCCATATCAGTCCAGTTTAGTATGAGTGCTGCTGAAGTGAGCATAGTGACTCCCCAATTTTTATGCCCACCCAGACTTACCTGCTGAAATCAGACGTGCACATTCATCTACAACTTTCTGAAATCCTTGGAGATGCCTGAGAAACTCAAAATGAACATCTCAGAGTGATCGTTCTCACAACTCCCCCTGTGATCTCTTATCTTAAATTTAGTACTTGGCTTGCCATCTGCCCATTAATCCAAAATGGTGTGGTGTTGTTGAGTATCACTGTGCTGTGTTCCTGCCATTCCTGGAATGAAGTTCACTTCCTTGTATAGGGTGATGAAAGTATGATTAAAGTCCGGCAGGAGATTAGGTGAAAGGCACAAGACCATCGTTCAGCATAAGGGGTGTATCCACATAATTAGAAATGTCCCCATAACTAGAACTGCTCACTGGTCCTGAATAAAATTTTCACATAATGCAAACTGAAAGATTAATTTGAATAATTGTATTACTGCCCATTTCCAGGAGACAGTGCCCTTCCCAGTTAGAGTATGGGTCAGTGTAGACAGGTCCTCTATTGTGGGCCCTTCCTGACTGATTAATAGCTTAGTTTCCCAACTCAGAAGGCATTGCTTACACACTCAAGAATACCAGTCTGTTTAAAAATTGCTGGATCGTCAGGCAGAGTGGGAGGGTGGCATCAAAGGGCCATTATCCCCTCCAAGTGTTCTCCATCTTCCCAGAGGAAAGCTGGTTCCTGAGAGAAGATAACCAGCACTTTATTTTGCTAAAGGTGTTGATTCAAATGAGAAGATTTAAATTTGGCGAAATATTGTCATCAACCTAAATTCTGTATATGGTAATCATGGGTGCTCCTTCCCATTGTGAGCAGAGCATGATGTTTGCAGTAGTGATCTTAATTTTTTTTAAAGTATGAAGAATGTAAAGACCTTTCCATTTGTTTCACAAACTTGTGATGACACAGTGTACTCAAGGCAATTTGTCAAGGAAGGTCTTGAATGCTTAGGTGAGTATTATCTCCATTTTCTGTTGTAGGGGGGAAGGGTAATGTACACTAGCTGTACACAAGTTGACGGAAAGTGTAAATGAGGTGCTAGCCTGTCAAAGAAACTGATGAAAACCACTTATAAGGAACTGCCAGACCCAACCCCCACTGGAGAATTTAGAACATTAAGACCCAGTTGAGCATAGTTTTAGGTATTAGAAAAACACAAGTATCAGTTACAGGAAGAGTCCTATCCAACCTGGGAACTGCTGCTTACACACGTCTGCACTTTCAGGACGCTGGAAGCTGGCAAAGACAAGCCAGAGGGCTCATTTGCTAATTTTATATCAAATTTGGAATGGGTGTGAAGGAAACATTTTGGAGCTTTATCCTATAGGGTTACCAGGTGTTACTGCTAAACAATGAAAAACACAACTCTCATAAGAACAAGAGATCCGTGTAAAATAACCCATTTTCTCAAGAAACAGTTTCAGCCAAAGTTGGTTTTTGTTTTCCTTATGGAGTCGTGAAAGAGCAATTGTCAGTAAGAAAACCTGAGGTCTGCCCAGTAATGCTAGATGCTAGGCACAATACCAATGTTGCCCAACCTGAACCCCAGCACCAGGAGTTCAAGTTAGTCCACGTGCAAGGTGCCCTTCCCGGTGCAGTGAGGACATCAGAGGATCAAGTTAGGTCCAACTCTACCAGATTAATACCCGAAGTGGGAAGGGAGATTCCAGTTATCCATGAGCTCAACTTCATGTCTACTCGATAGGCCGTCCTTCCCCGAGGTCTGATCCCTTCTCCTTGCTTCTTACATGTGGCTTTCTTACAAAATCCAGGTATTGATTTTATGCCCAAGCAATTGTCCTTTCCAAGTGGTGTTTAGCAACTCATATCTATTACACACAGCATGTCAGACTTTAAAACACTTTAATCTACTTTGCTTGCAGAAAAGGAGACCACTATCTGGGTAGGAACCCTGAGTCCCGATTGTTAGTCTTGCCTTAACTTTATGTTAGTAACACCAAATTAAGTAGTACAACAGCCACTGTCTGTGAGAATTAAGTGGCTCTGAAAAGAGCCTTTGGGTTCGGGACGAGCAATCGCATTAAGCTTAAGCCCTCTCTCCTCGAATGCGGCGCGCAAGCTGGATGTCTTTGGGCATGATGGTGACGCGCTTGGCGTGGATGGCACACAGGTTGGTGTCCTCGAACAGGCCCACCAGGTAGGCCTCGCACGCCTCCTGCAGCGCCATGACGGCCGAGCTCTGGAAGCGCAGGTCGGTCTTGAAGTCCTGCGCGATCTCGCGCACCAGGCGCTGGAAGGGCAGCTTGCGGATCAGCAGCTCGGTGGACTTCTGGTAGCGGCGGATCTCGCGCAGGGCCACGGTTCCGGGCCGGTAACGGTGCGGCTTCTTGACGCCGCCTGTGGCCGGCGCGCTCTTGCGGGCCGCCTTGGTGGCCAGCTGCTTGCGTGGGGCCTTCCCGCCGGTGGACTTGCGCGCCGTTTGCTTGGTGCGAGCCATATCTAAGCCACAGAAGCACTAAACTGGAACCACTGTGTGAGTCTGACCTACTCGACTGGTGTGTATATATATAAGGTGAGTCCAGCTATGATTGGACCAGGCATCTGCCCGTCAATTCTCGCGATGATGCTATTGGACGCGGCACAGACTTTCTGATAGCAGCAGCCTCTGGGAGGCTCAGACCGGAAACGTACTACTTCCTCCCACCCACCCTTTCAACAGCAGCTGTTTTCTACCCTTTCTTCCCTGTACTGTCTTTACGCCCTTTCTTTACAACTTTCTTTGGCTTTTCTCCGCAGAATTTAATATAAATATTACAGTGCTATATATTGTTTGCTGAGTAAAACATTTTAATTTTGGCACTTGAAACTTGTTTGCCTTGGTTTTTTTGAAAAGGCGCGCGCTACGTGGATTGGGTAAGGAAATTTTTTTAGTCTCGTTCAAGTTTAAGAAGGCTAAATTCATGTTGAAATCTTGATTTCTCTGTTTAAACTTATAAGATTTTAGTGTTTTATGCGTTTTGTCTGTATATCTGACTCAATTGAACGATGGTTACTTTTTCACTAGCTAGCATTCTAATATAAAGAATTCTACTGTTTTACAATTTCAACTGAGATTTGTGTAAAATGGGTTTAAGGAAAAGATCCTCAAATATATAAATGGTACAAAAAAATATTGTGTGCCTTTTTAAAGCCATGTAAGACCCTCTAATGAGTTCTGCCTAGAGGACATGACTCCAGGGCATGAAGCTTTCCTATTTACAACCCACTAGAACCCAGCAGAATTGTAATTGGGCGAGCGGCAAGCTAAGTGTCCCATTAGGATGCAACACAGGTCTTAAACGGGGAACCAATGTCATTTTATTACCCTTTTGCCAACCAGATTTGTATTTATTTCTTTCACCAAGTATTATTCCTTTCATGTTTCTCTTGGTCCAACCCTGAGGGCTTACAGGATTGATAGCCTTAAGTTACCTATGTAAAGAACCCACAGTGGCTTTGCCTGGTACACACTTGTTTCATTGTTGTCACTTTTGCGTTTCTGGAGGTATCCAGTGATACCTATTGGTTGATTGAGCTATTGAGATAAGGGTTATTTTCAAGTAGCTGCTACAATAGGGAAAAGGCAAGCCCTCTTAGAAAAACATAGGTGGCTCTGAAAAGAGCCTTTGGTTTAGTTGAAACAGACACAAGTCAGGACTGTCTTCCACTTCACTTGCCCTTGGCCTTGTGGTGGCTCTCGGTCTTCTTGGGCAGCAGCACGGCCTGGATGTTAGGCAGCACCCCGCCCTGCGCGATGGTCACCTTGCCCAGCAGTTTGTTGAGCTCCTCGTCGTTGCGGATGGCCAGCTGCAGGTGGCGCGGGATGATGCGCGTCTTCTTGTTGTCGCGCGCCGCGTTGCCCGCCAGCTCCAGGATCTCGGCCGTCAGGTACTCCAGCACAGCCGCCAAGTAGACTGGCGCACCGGCCCCGACCCGCTCGGCGTAGTTGCCCTTGCGGAGCAGGCGGTGCACGCGGCCCACGGGGAACTGCAGCCCGGCCCGCGATGAGCGCGTCTTGGCCTTGGCGCGCGCCTTGCCGCCCTGCTTCCCGCGTCCAGACATGATAGACAAGGTAGACAAGAACTCGTGCTCTAGTTTGAGTGAGTTCAGGCACCCAAAGCTACCTCATTTATAATCGTTTCTGGGCGCGAAAGAGAACCTGTGCCATTGGCGAAAAGTTACAGGCCATTTCACTTCAACCAATGGGATCCTCGTTCTGAAATACGCTCATTTTGACTGGACAATATTCACGTGACGTTTCTGGAGTTACCGCCAATCAGACGTGAGTTTAAAAGGCTGTGAGCCAACAGGACGCTCGCAGGCTCACTCTCTGGTTCTCCCTTGTTTTTTTCCTTGAGTTCCTTTCTGGCCATGCCCGAGCCCGCCCCCAAGAAGGGCTCCAAGAAGGCCGTGACCAAGGCGCAGAAGAAGGACGGCAAGAAGCGCAAGCGCAGCCGCAAGGAGAGCTACTCGGTGTACGTGTACAAGGTGCTCAAGCAGGTGCACCCGGACACGGGCATCTCGTCCAAGGCCATGGGCATCATGAACTCCTTCGTGAACGACATCTTCGAGCGCATCGCGGGCGAGGCGTCGCGCCTGGCGCATTACAACAAGCGCTCGACCATCACGTCCCGGGAGATCCAGACGGCCGTGCGCCTGCTGCTGCCTGGGGAGCTGGCCAAGCACGCGGTGTCCGAGGGCACCAAGGCCGTCACCAAGTACACCAGCGCCAAGTGAGCCCTCCTCGGAGAGACTGATCCGGCTTGTTCACACCCAAATGCTCTTTTCAGAGCCACCCACTTTCACAGAAACAGCTGGTTCATTTTCCCTCTAGTCTCTATTTCTTCTTAGCAGTGTCGTGGCTCTGGGTTTGTAGAGGAAAATACCTGGAAATAAGGACCAAATGTTTAATAAAAAACTTCTGTAGGCATTTTGGCGTCAGCATTGGGCGCAGTGTATACTAATTCATTATGCGTTCTTTATGGTCTTTCGAAAGAGGCTTTCCCATTTGTTTTCTGCCACAATAGATTTCGCTTTTGTTTGCACAATCGATGCCAATAACAGCCCCGTTTCTAATTGGGCAGCGTCACTATTGGAAAAGCCCGCCACGGGCTCCAACTTGCTAGATGATTTATCCCGTGTGCTTTCCCCTAGATACTCTCTGGAAAGTAAATTGTGGCCCCTGCGCAGTTTGCTGTAATCATCAGTGTCCGCAGCCACAGCCAAACACTGAACATGACAGTTAGGAGGCTCCCCCAAAACTAAAATGTTGGGTAAAGAATCCAGCAACCTGGAAAGCCGCCGTCTTCCTGTTTTATCAGGATGAGTAGGTTGGAGGCAGGGATGCCGGGACTCCGTGGGCAGCGCTCCAGCTGGGATTTGAGAGTCCACGACGAGAAATTCTGCCGTAGAAGTCAGAACCTCGTGTATAAAAGAAGCAGACTCCAGACTCCAGAGGTAGGAAGTGGGCTGAACGCCTGTTAGCCAGGAATACGAGTGTGGACTGAAGGACCAAAGGAAACTACTTTAACTTCCCAGCATCTTCCCGTGGTGCCCAATCTTCTCCTTTCTTGCATAAATCCTCGGCCACCCGTTTAACCCCTTTTATAGATGTAGGCGTGAACAAAACCAACACCATCTGTGTCCTGGATTGCATTTCATTTCTAAGTTTCATGCTGTGACTTCGTCCTTAGCAAGCATATCAAAGCTTTCTAGTTGATGTTCCTCCGTGTTCCTTAAACTATAGCCATAAATATATTTTTTATCAATAGAATGGATTGAAAACCGAGAGAAATATCATACTGGCGGAGGAGCGCGTGGAGTATGGCCCCAGTATCAGTACATTCTTTGTGTCTTTGTCTTGTGAGTCATTGGTGCCCAACTTATTTAAAAAGGTACTATAACAGGGTACAGACGGTGAAAATATTTTGTGCCGAATTGCTGGGTGTCTGTCCATGCTGGCCCAGTCTTCCCCTAAGTAAATTATGTATAATAAATTCTGTCACATTCTGTGGAGTTGCCTGCTTGGATTTTCTGAAGATACCTTATCTTTACAGTGGTCATTACATTCTTGCCCACCACGGGACATAGATGTTAATAAAATGCAATGGTTTCAGCTGAGTGTGGGAAGGGAGTGGGGGACAGGTGAAATGGTCTCAGTCCTGTTTTCCCCCTCCCAACCTCATCAATAGACCCTCAGCTTTTTGTCAGAGGAATTGCCCACACAAAGGGTTTATAGGCCTCTTGGGGAAAATTCTGAAGTTTGGAAATCTCTCTAGGGAGCATCCAAAGCTATAAAGGGAAGACTGTGATTGGAGAGGCTCATATTTGAGGAGTCCTGGCTGCCACAGCCACCCCACTCTGTCATTCACTGCATTGTCTTATATTCCGAGCCTTTGGGCAACTAAAAGTGATCCCGGTACCCTACCCCACAGAAATAATCTGTGTCTAAAAATAAATCCTTTGGATCACTTGAAGCTATTGCTAACAATGTTATATGTAATAAAGCTTTGTTTCAATCTTAGAAAAAACAATGCAAGTCCCCCCTTATTCCAGAGGGACATGTTCCAAGACTTCCGGTGGATGCCTGAAACCATAGGTAGTATTGAACCCTCCATGTACCATTTTTTCCTATATACACATGTGGTAAAGTTTAATTCATCAATTAGGCACAGTAACAGATTAATAACAATAATAATGAAATAGAACAATTATACCAATATAATAGAAGTTATGTGAATGAAGTCAGTTGTTTCAGAGATCCTTTACTGAAGTCTTTCTTCCCAGAGGCTCAATGTTTTCTGGTGCAAGACATTGTGGCCAATCAGAGCACATTTGCTGTTCATGCCTCCCGCTGCAAATTAATGCCTTTTTCTTCTTAACTAGGCACTTATCACACACTGTGGCTGAACCTTTTGCAATTTAACGTGCAAGAGTAAAGTAGCACTGATTTCTCTTTCCTTCTTCACAATTTCACTGGCAGGAATTTATTCTTACTGTAGATCTTAGCAACTTCAGCATATAATTTTATCTTTCCTTATTAAGACAAGAATATATATCTTTTCACTTAAGGAAGCATTTTACAGCTTCTCTTTGGCATACCTGAATTTCCAGCATCTCTACTCTTGTGATTTGGGGCGATTATTAAGTAAAATAAGGGTCACTTGAACACAAGCACCATGATACCATTAACCTAGATGGCTACAAGAGACTAATGGGCAAAGAGCATCAGGCCTGGATACACTGGGCAAAGGGATGATTCACTGCTCCACCTGGACCAAGCAGGATAGCAAGAGAATTCATCATGCTACTCAGAACAGCTCACGGTTTAAAAATTATGCATGGTTTATTGGATTATTTATTTCTGAACATTTTTATTTAATATTTTCAAAGCCTGTTTGTCCACAGGTAACTGAAACCGCAAAAAGCAAAACCACAGATAAGGGGAGGAGGCTATTTTACTCTACAGAGTGCTTTGAAGTCTCCATCTCTGGTTCTTTTTAAAATGACAGCCTCGATATAGCAGTTGTCTTTTTATTTCTATGCATGTTAATAAGAAACTCTTCACATAGAGAGAAAAATGAGTGCCTTGTAAAAGATTAGGAGGTAAACCGACTTTACCTCTTTGAGGAGTTGCTTAGTCTGTGGTGATAATCTCCCAGAACAAACTGAATATCCATTTCTGAGACAGAACCCAGGAGAAAACAGCGATTAATGTTTTACCGATTTTTGGCCATTTTTTTCTTTCAGAGTCATATGTGCCTCTGGTGATTTGTGAGATTAGAAGCCTCGTTACTTAGAACAGTGTTTTAAAATTCATCTCAGATGGAAACTGTATTTGCAAGGGACACGTATGTAGGCCAGAGTGACAGTGGAATCAGACCTCACCAAGCCCTAAGCTGAGAACTGTGGTTCTTTACTGTGACAGGAATCTCGCGTTGAAAAGATTACAGTCAGCAAGAGAACTTTAATGACAGGATTTCTAAAACCTGTTGCCAAGTGGATAAGGATGTTGCCTTCATTTTGAAACCAAGTGAAAACCAAATATAGCCTTTCAGCTGCCCATTCCAGACATGGGCTCTGCTTGTATGTTTGGACACAGATTGACACAGAGAACTAGGTATGATCCCAAGGGTATTATGAAGGAATGCTTTTTGTGTGGATATTCATAAAGTGAATGCTTTTTAAAATAAGCATTGTAGTATTTAAATGAAAGCCTAGTATGAGCTGTTTCCAGACTCTTTGCAAATAAAAATTATTCATTAACAAAAAAGAAAAAAGAAATAAGAGAGATGCATATCAGATTCATGATAGAGTTGCCCTCACAAAGGGGATATTAATATTGAGAATGCTGTTGAAAAATGCTTTGATTTTATGTGGGTCTTTTTCTTTAAATATAAAGGAGATTTATAATTAATACGCCCTAATATTAAATAGTAGATCCATTCTGTGTTGTCATTTTTGTACTCATTTGTGATTTTTTTTAAGGTAAAAGAGAAAGGTGAAGACTAATGTCTAAAGTAGTGTTTGTTGTGTTAAAAATTGTGGCTTTTATTATGCTGAGTGAAATAGGCCAGGCATTGAAGGACAAATACCATATGATCTCACCTTTGACAGGAAGCTAAAGAATAAAACAAACAAGCAAACAGAATAAAAACAAAGACACTGAAATAGAGAACAAGTGGGCAGCGACCAGAGGGGAGATGGAAGGGAACTTAAGGGGAAAAAGGGGGAGGGATTTTGAGGAACAAGTATGAAAGACACAGAGATGAGGACTGGGTGGGGGGAATGGGAGGGAGGGGGGAGACCGGGCGGGGGGGGGGTGGGATGGGAGAAATAGATTTAAAAAAAATGTAATTGAAAAGTAACTAAATAAAATTTAATATTTAAAAAAAAATTGTGGCTTTTAACATAAGATTGTTATCAAATCACCAGTGACCGAGATGTTCCAGGCCGTGTTCTAGATGCTACAGCAACCACAGTGGGAAAACAGACAAAAAAACTTTTTTCTTGTCAATTTGCAATCCACTGGAAGGCAATACTAAACGAATAAATAAAATATATAACATACTACACAATGGAAAGTACTAAAGAGAAAAACAGCAAATGTTTCGGATTATTGGGAGAATTATTATTTTAAGTACTCCCAACTCCCTTTAACTGAATCTCTAACCCTGACAATAGGTATTCATGGTCCTTTCAAATTCTAAACTTACATTCTTGTTTACAGAATGGTGGTAAATAGAGATGGACAACTTCCAGCTGATGGATTAATGTTCTCCGCTCTCAGAGAGGGTAAATATGCCATTTCTTGATTAGAACCCACCAGATTTGTATTTTGTGTGTGTGTGTCAAAATTTTCTTAGACTGAGAATATTTCCCCTACAGTTGTCCAAGGTTTCATTAGGTACAGAAGACACCCCAGCTGGGAAAAGACACGCGCGTGCGTGCGCTGTTCTAAATGTTTCCCAAATTTTCGGGGTTAAAAGAAAGGGAAAAAACTGCTACCTAGCAGAGGATGGTTTCGATCCATCGACCTCTGGGTTATGGGCCCAGCACGCTTCCGCTGCGCCACTCTGCTGGCCGTGCAAGCAGTTTGATTTTAAATCCTTATATCTTTTGCGTTAAAAGTTGTTTTTGTACATCAGAAAATGATATTTTTGAAAGTCATTTGCTGGTTTCACTCATACTTCAAACAGAGCAATCATCCCACCATACATTGAGTCTAGATGTTCTGAACGCGAAAAACTCAGTATTTCTGTTGGAAAACAGCCGGGCTCCAGCCCGCCCCCTGCCCGGCAGAAAGGGCCCCGGCCATGCAGTCAGAACGAGGGAAGAGGCCAAAGTTCCGGGGAGCGACGAAGCCGACCTCTCACCTGGAGCATTTCAACGTAATTGGAAGAATTTTTAAAACAAACAAGAAAAGCACAGATGCATTGGCCGGGAATCGAACCCGGGCCTCCCGCGTGGCAGGCGAGAATTCTACCACTGAACCACCAATGCGCAGCTACAAAGGTGATACTGTTGGCTATATGAATGTATTTTCCTGCTGCTATTTTTCCGGAATTAGCCATTTATTTTAATTTTTTCAAAAGACGTTAGGCGCTTTTTCGTTCTTTATGAATACAACTTCATAATACTTCCTCTCCCTTCAGGAACACCCCTTCTCACCGCAGGTTCAGAGGACACCCCCTAACGTGGAGGCCCCGCCCCTTTCAAAAAATAAAATTTTTCTATCGATGACAGTAATGTATTAGATAATTCAAAGAAAACTTCTGAAATCGAGTCTGGACAGGTGGGATCATTTCCATACGTCCCACAACTCGTGAGGGACCAAGCGCTGGGACCGGGGGTGCAGGTCTCTCTCAAGCAGTCGACTCCTTTTTCAAAGATATGTTGTCTGTGGAAATTGTGGAAAATACAAAAATGTACAATGAAGTAAATGTAAGGCCAGTGTAACCTTATCACACAGAGATAACAGATATCCTGGTGATGTCAGCATGTTTTCATTGCACGTGTAAATGTAGGGCCCTACGTGAGCGCGCTAATGGGACTTCCACCGGGTTCCACGCAGCAGACACAGAAAACAGACGCGCAGACGAAGGCGAGGCTTTCTGGCCTGGAGGGGATCTCGCGAGGCACGTGGTCCAGTTTTCCTCCAGTATTTGAGAATCATACCTCCGCAGAAATAGTTACCCATTCAAGCTATTCCTCTTTCCAGTGTTAATTCCATGTGTTGAAGGAGAGCAGCTTCCATCCAGCTTTTTCCTGAGAAGCCACAAGAATCAACTCAACTGCTTCTACCTGGCTTTTCCCCGAAGGCTCGGCTATAGCTATCATTTTCTCAGTGTCTGCTTTCACTTTTTTTGGTCATTAACGGAAATGGTTATGACAAATGTGATTTCACATTTAATTCTGTCATACCACAGAATTTAAAGAGGAAAAGCATTACGCAGATTATTTCATTAAACTTTGTTTTATAGAGATTTCTATTTTCCCACTTGCCAAAAATGCTCAAATTTGTGATGAATCCTCTCTTATATCATGCTAAAATCTGCCTTATTTTTACCCATTAGTAGGAAATTCTAAATTTATGGAAGTTGTGTTTGAGTGCCCTTTAAAAAGTTGATGAGAACTTTTGCATCATGCTTGATGAAGCATTTTCTAGTCCATGTTAGACAAATCTATGCTTTCAATAATTCTCCAAGAGTCATGATGTTCTGACTCTCACTTCTCCCGTCATTATCCTGTAGAAGAAGCATTTTAGTTTTATAAGGTTTTTCTTGAAATGTGAATCCTAGACCTGAGACCAATAATCTGCATATTTTATTGTCAGTATGGTCCCTGTTGAGATTTTCTGGAACTCACCAGTTTCGCCAAATGGATAACAGTACAGTGTTCTTTCTCTGTCAGTAGTGGTGTTTAGTCTCAGGCAGAAGTCTCAAACACTGAGTTGCAAAGTGCTTCCCTGTAGTTTATGGGAATTAACCACACACCCAGTGGGAGAGCAGCAGGGCAGCTGTGAGCGATGTCCTCATGGCCACTGACTTGCTCAGCAAACTCTTCTTCTGGGCCTAAATCCTCTGTTTGTTGCAAGACCTAGAAGGGGAACTTTAAATAATGTAGTAATTACAATTTTAATGATAGAATAGTTAATAAAATATTAAACATTAGTTACAGTTGAGTTCTAATGGTTAACATTGTCAATTCCAACTTTATTAACATTGTATCATCTGGGCTCATATTATTGATGTTGGGCTATGAAATAATTATTAATAATAAATGGTTCTATTTTGGCAATACAACTATGTAGTATTATTAAAATATTGATGAATATAAATTTAATTTTGAATTAAAAAATGATCACCAATATAAAAAGGAATGACAATGGGGACAAAATGTTTTAGCAAAGAAAGTTTGCATTTTGTGCTATGGAATTCAGTTTAGTTTTGTTTTTGCTTTGTTTAGTTTTTTGTAAACTACTCATTGAATTCTCTAAAGCCCTGTAATTACTTCTATCAGAAAAAACCTTTTTATTCTATTTGTAAATTCTCTAAGCAACCACCTGAGGTCATTTTACTAAGTCTGATTTCTATGTCAGAAAATAGACCTTTATATAATTTATCTTGATAAAATCTTTTTAAGTTGGTTTATTATACATTTTCCATGAAGCAGTCTTTAAAAATTAGTTTAGAGCTACTTATCTACCTCTTCTTTCATGGATTTTTAAATTTCTAGACTTGGTTACTAAGTTCTTCAACTCAAGATGATACAGTTTGTCTTCTAATATTAAAAATATGTATATTACATTATTTAATCCAGCCAGAATAGATACTTATTTTTATGTGTTAAACTATACAGGTTTTAAATTTTTTTCTTTTCCAGATGAAGAAAGACATTTACAATTTTGAAAAAAGATTAGGATCTATTAAATAGGGAGGAAAATTTAACATATTTGAAAAAAGAAAAGCGCAAATAGCCCTCAGGAGAATGACAAATTATAAGAGTAGTCAATTTAGAGAACAGCAAATCCAAATGATCAGTAGCTATATGACAAATTTCTCAAATAGAGAAGGATAGATTAAAGTAATAAAGGTAAAGCTCTTCATACTCACCAGATTGGGAACAAAAGGAGAATTAAATTCCGTTGCTAATGAGAATGAAGGAAGGGGCCACTCAGATTGCTGGTGGGTGTTCAGTGTTACAGACTTTCTGGGGGAGACATGGAGGGGGTTTCCGAAGGCTGCATCTGCTCCCAGGATCCTTCGAAGCCCCCGCGGCTCCTCACCGCATCCCCAGCTTGGGACATGCTTCATCCCTAGTTTCCCTCTCGGTCTCCGAGCCTCCTCTGCATGTGGGTCTCTGACTCTCTCGTGTATGCAGGGTTCTCACACATGTATATGTACCAAGTCTGGTTATTACTTCTTCCTCATTTGCCTCATGTCTATTTGAGTATTAGACTAATTGGAGGAAACTTGAGGATAGAGAAAAGTGTATTTCTCCCACAACTTGCTAGGTAAGTAACATGAATAACTGGAGAACTATAAAGGGTAATATCTAGAGAAGAGATATTTCTAGAGAAGAAAGGGGCATGAAAAAAATTGGGGGAAAAAACAAATTAAGACTTGGTATACATTTAAAATTTTGTAATAAATTAATAGCAGTGGTTAGTTACATTGGGAGAGAAAAGTGAGAGTAAGGGTAGAAATGGGTAGAGGACGATTGTACTAATGTGTGAAATTTTTAACAATATTTTTAATAGGTTGTAATTTATTTGGTTTTTAACAGGTTGTAATTTACATGAAAAAAAATTGCAGCTTAAAAATGAAATAAACAAAGGACTAAACAAAAATATGAATGAAGGAAGATATTTATTTTGCAGAGTGGATCAAGTGTGTGTAAATTGAAATTGGTTCAGAAGTCCTTAAACTTGGAAAGTGCCAAGTAGTGCCCACTTATCCCTGTCCTGAGACTAGAGAAAGATCTGCTGAGTCTGTTGTTGTTACCTGGATGCAGTGCTGAGTCCTTTGAAAGGATTATTTCATTCAGTTCTTGTAAGTGCCCTTTGAGATAGCAACTCATCATCTCCACAGACTACACAGAGGAAACAGACTTAGAGAGGTGAAAATTAAATGCCTTGGTCCTTGAACCTCTGGAATGTTTGAACTGGGAAAATAACCTTTAATTTGGGCCAAATCAACGTTGTCTTACAAACAACTGTAAAACTAACAGGACATCAAAACTGACCACAAGGACTGATTATTGTGGACACGCTTTAGAATAAGTTAGAACCATGTGCAGCTGAAGAGGAACTTGGTAGCTTGCTTGCACCAATGGAAATTCCTTTCTTCTATTCATGTAATTATTTCCCTTCCCTTTCTCATAATAACCCTGCAGTTAGAACCCAATTTGGGTTTCTGCCTGAATCTGTTCCCCAGATAGCAACTAAGTGATCTTAAATAAAAGTTTGTTGCCTCTCACTTTTGGCTTTTAATTTTTAGGTTAATACTGGTTACGTAATGTGGAAGTCCCAGCTCTGTTTAATCTTTGTTAATATTTTCCAGGTATTGTTACCCAGAGTTACTTGCCTCCCTTCTTATCATTAGGACTTATTTCTTAGAAATTTGCTTATTATCATAGCTCCCTTCTTTTGCTTGGGAGAACCTTATTTGATATGTTATTCTCTGACCACCTGACTTTTAATGGAAAATGTAGTGAATATTGGAACCAAACTCTGCTTAGTAAGGTAGGCAAACCAGCTGTGTTTTCTGTGACAAGATCGAGGCTGGAGACCGTGGCTTATCCAGGAGTAAATGGGGGCGGGGGATAGGGACATATTCAAACTCCACTGAAGTTGAACAGGAGCTTTGGAACTAGAGCTCCAAGAATAGCCGTATGCTAAGAAATCAAAGCGGATGCTAAACCTTGCTCCAAACAAGGACAGTTCGTCACACTGTTCTTTCACTTTGTGGAAGAAAAGGGGCCACATATTCATTCACCCGACAAGCTCAGAGGAGGCCTGCGAGGCAGCCTTACCAACTCGGACACCTAAAGTAACCACATAGGATGGTCTAAAATTAAAACTTATTAATTAAAGCAGTTCATGGTGGGCAGTCCTGTTCTAGACCAGTGTTTTCCCTACTAAAGGTCAATCTTTACCTTACTGGAGCCTAATATCTTTTTTGCATGTAGGATCACAGGCCTTTGGAATGCCCAGGTAACTTCCCTTTTACCCAAACCCCTCGGGGCACAAGCTGAGACCACCGTCCCCTCATTGTCATTATCATGTTCATTGTTGACTGTTAACTATCCCTCACCAGTGTAAAGAAGCTCGTGTCTGTCGTTGTACCTTTCACCCCGTCCCAGAGCTTTCCCAGCTTCGCTTTCTCCCGCCTCCCTGATCCATCACCAGTGGATTTCACGTAACCCTCCGCATGGCTCTTCCTTGGATCTAAGATATAAATTAAGGCGTTAAACTGCCAATCCCCGGAGCATTTCTCAGTCCGTTGAGATGCTGCTTCCCCGCAATTGCCATCAGTTTGGCTCAAACTCACCAAAACTTCTCTACATGTTTGAATGTTTCCTATGTTGACACCTAATTGCCTCCTTTTAGACATATGTAATTTGTATGATATCTTTTCCAGTTCTAAGAAAATAGCGATTCTTCTATCTACTTTTGATTGATAATTTTGTATTTATTTTTATCAAGGAGACCATCCAAGATGGTACAGGCTGCAGGCCCCGCCAAGCCTGGATCCGCGCCTGGAGGTAATAGAGGTCCGCGGGCCTGGAAGTGACAACAGCAGTGTCCCAACTACAGTCGATCGATCGACTGGGCTCCAGGGGTTCCAGGGGCGGTGGCCGCTGCTCTTGGCCCCAGAACCTTCCTGACTCCCGCGGAGGCAGCGAGAGGCGGCAGGAGCAGACTCGGGCCTGGGCGCTGGGCCGCAGCTCAGCAGGGAACAGCTCACGAGCTGGCGAACGTTCGGGGACAACCTGCTAACTCCTCTGCCTCTGCCGTGAACTAAAAGGGTTGCATCGCTGGCCGCTGGGGAGCTTTGGATGTGGTGGTTGGTACGGGGACCGGCCGCAGGAGTCTGACCTTGAGGACGCAGTGACCCGGTCTTGGTTACTTGGTCCCTTGCCTGGAAAGACTGGGAAGCAGCAGGGGTGGGACATGGGTAGTCTGTGGTCTTCAGGGGAGAAAGACGCGTGCTGAGTGCCCTCCTGTGGCACGTGGAACGCAGCCGTGGGTCCAAGGCTTGTTGCCATAGGTCAGGATGGCGGGCAGATGAGCAGGAGGAAGCTCGCGGTGCGGGAGTTGCTCTAATCACCCTGGGAGCGCTTAACAAAATGCACGGTAGCTCACGTCATGATCAGTGGACCAGGAGTTTTCAAAAAATCTGTCTGAAGCTAATATTTTTTTTATTTCTTGACGTTTTAGGGTTGCATACAAAAAATAAGTTGCAGGGTACGATGCTGCGGGTCTCTGAGTTATAATGTAAATAAATGTATAGCTCTTATGATATTGTGCTCTTAGGAATATATATATTTGGTCTTAGTCTCTGGTTCCTGACACAAGAATTTCTAAAATCCTAGGAATTTTCTGAGTGATGGGATTGCAATCTTCTCTTATTCATAATAAACATTTTACAACCACACCTGAGTTTATGCTAATGAGCTCGCTCTGGGCGGGGCCCTACCTAGATGGCCTCAGAATGGGGTTGGTGGCCTGAGGCACTGACTTCACGCTGTGAATGTTACAAGTTTCCGCCCCACATCCTGACCAGGGAGGGTGAGAGGGGCTGCACACTGAGTTAATCACCAGTGGCTAATTATTTAGCCAGTCAAGTCTAACAACTGGCATTGGAGAGCTTCTGGGTTGGTACATACTTCGCTGAGAGAAGGTATGAAAGCTCCCCACCCACCAATGCCTTGCTCTGTGCGTGTCTGCCATGCAGCTCTTTCTAAGTTGTGTTCTTCACAATAAACCAGTAATAGTCACCGAGCTGCTTTCCTAAATTCTGTGAGTGTTCTAGCAGATTATCACACCGGAGAGCAGGTTAGGGGAACCCTGACTCATAGCCAGTCAGTCAGAAGGACAGAAGGCCCAGGGCTTGCCATATGTACTTGAAGTGGGGGCAACCTTGTGAGACCGAGAATTGAATTTCCTTTGAGGACTTTTCTCATTCACAGAAACAAAAAAAGTTGCTCAGGGTGAGATTGGGTGAGTAGGGAGGGTGGGGCACAAGGGGTCTTGCCATTTTTTGGTCAAATCTGTGGAACACTCAGTGAGGAGTGGGCAAGTGGGCTCATAAATCATGCATCACCAAATGGGCAACGGTGTTGAAAGAGCCTTCAAAAAAAGTTCACAGAAGCCGAATGCAGCCTCTCACAACAAAGCCAGCTGGTGCACTGATACAGATGGGCTCCTAGGACACTCACCTAGCGGGTGAAGACCTGCCCTCCAGAAGATAGTTGTGGGTTTTTGGGTCCCCCACCTCGTATGCTGATAAAATTAATGAGTGTTCTGGGAAAAGTGCTGTGTCTGTTCTTTGTAATCTAAGGATGAAAGAAGTTGGCATTGAGATGGACCCCTAATTTCAGCAGGATACTTGGACTCTCGCAATGTCGGCCGTCCACATGACAAGCTGTCAGTCAGGTGGATGGCAGTGGTGACCTGAGTGGTTTGAGCACGTGGACTGAAAACAGTAGCTAGTTGATTTTAGTTCCCTAAGACTGGCTTGATGGGTATAAAGGTCCTGTTTGTTCTGTAAAACCTAGAGAACTCTCAGGCCGACAGCCAGAGAGCTGATCTGAGTCTTCATGAGGGGGTCAGGGACTCTCACCCACATTCCCAGTTGCCTCAGTCTGAGGCCCAAAAACCCTTGAGGATGGGAAGCTATACGCTCTCTGGGATGAATCCTGCAATCGTATCACAAACCATTATTCTCACTATCTGTCCTATTTTTCTACAGTGAGAAAGATATTTCCAGACAGTTCTGGGTACCAGCACTTGGGAAGGGAATTCCCCTTTTCTAGGCTTATTGGATCCTAGCCCTGAGCTGAACCTTTATCTCCCTGGGGACTCTGACCACATGATCAACCTTTAAGTGTGGAGATTCGTGCCAGTTGAATTATATTGTTTTTGTCCAAGTTTATCTCACAGGGGTTCAGGGAGTCTGCAAACTCAATCTGTAGTCATTTTCCCTGATTCTGGATGTATCAGCCACACGTACGCAACCCCCGAAACAACCTCCACTTTGCTTCCCCGACTCACAGAGCAACAGCCATTGCGGTAGGAAGGGCAAGTGGGCGTGCTGGGAGTTGTTCATTTCCAAAAGTGCAGTTATCCAATCGACACCTCCTCCTGAGAGAATTCGGAGATTAATGCTTCCATTAAAGACTTGAAAGATGTATCGGACCATATTTACATTTTCTGTTTGGCCTGTGCATGAGACAAATGAGTCTAGTGAATGAAATCGATCGTTGTCAGCTTCATCCAGTGGCAATTTTAACTGCAACTGATCTTGAAGTTGTGGTCTTCTCATGGTAAGAATTAATCCAGCTTCTGGCTTCTGGCGTGTACCTATGGTGCAACTATTTGTTCCAAAATTCATTTCATTGAGCAGATGACACCAACAGGGGAGGAACGGAGCAAATGTTTGCCAGGTTCCCTCAGGGCTGTGTCAGCCCTCAAGCTGCCTCACACAGTTTAGAATGTGGGGTCCTCCATTGCCTTACCACCTAACAGGACTTCCCGGTGACTCACTGTACTGATGGATTCACGCTGAGGGGACTTATGAGCTGGAAACTACAAACTCCTTATACTTCAATAAGACAATATGGTCTTACCGATGGGGGGACATTATTCCCATGAAAACCGAGGGGACTGTTACCAGAGTGAAATTTTCAGAAGTGCTGTGGTCTTCCTGTGTGTGGTCGCCTCCAAACCCAGAGGCAGGGTGCTAACTCCAGTGTCCGCCTGTGAGAATGAAACCCAATAGTGGTCGCCAGAGTGATGGCCCCGCAGGTGCCCACATCCCAATCCTGGAACCTGTGAATATGTTGCCTTCTAGAACAAAAAGGACTTTGCAGATATGATTAAATAAGGATCTGAAAATGGAAAGATCCCCCTGGATTATCTGGGGGAGTCCAATGTAATCAGGAGGGTTTTATAAGAGGGAGTCAGTCAGAAAAAGTCGAAGTCAGAAAAAGGGATTGGAAAATGCTATGTCACTGGCTTCATATTTGTGGGATGAATGTCCAGAAGTGTGGTTGCTACGTCACATGGGAAGTGTGTGTTTAGTTTCTTAATCTGTTTCCCACAGGGGTTGTACTATTTCCATTCCCACCAATGATGTATGAGATCTCATTTCTCTGAACTCTCTGAACATAACCATAGTTATGTTCAAATGTTGGTCTACTAATTTCAAAATCTAGATTATCTAGGGATCTCCTGCTGCACCCTATATATATATATTTTTTATTTTTTTTATTGATTATGCTGTTACAGTTGTTCTATTCCCCCCTTCATTCCCCTCCACCCTACCCCCGTCCCCACCATTACCCCCCCTTTAGTTTATGACCATGTGTCTCAAGTCCTTTAGATTCTATATTTCCCATGCTATTCTTGCCCCCCCAATCTATTTTCTATCTACTGTCTATGCTACTTATTTTCTGTACCTTCTCCCCCCTTCTCCTCCTCCCACTCCCCTGTTGCTAACCCTCCTTGAGATCTTCATTTCTATGTTTCCACTCCTGATCTAGCTGTCGTTTTAGTTTGCTTTTGTTTTAGGTGTGGTTGTTAATAACTGTGAGTTTGTTGTTCTTTCACTGTTCATGTTTCTTTAACTTCTTTTTCTTAGATAAGTCCCTTTAACATTTCATATAATAAGGGCTTGGTGATGATGAACTCCTTGAATTTGATCTTATCTGAGAAGCACCTTATCTGTCCTTCCATTCTAAATGAAAGTTTTGCTGGATAGAGCAATCTTGGTTGTAGGTCTTTGGATTTCATGACTTGGAATACCTCTTTCCAGCCCCTTCTTGCCTGTAAGGTCTCTTTTGAGAAATCTGCTGACAGTCTGATGGGGACTCCTTTGTAGGTGACTGTCCCCTTAGCTCTTGCTGTTTCTAGGATTCTCTCCTTCATTTTAATTTTGGCTAATGTAATTATGATGTGCCTTGGTGTGTTCCTTCTTGGGTCCAACTTCTTTGGTACTCTCTGAGCTTCCTGGATTTCCTGGAAGTCTGTTTGGTTTGCCAGATTGGGGATTTTCTCCTTTATTATTTGTTCAAATAAGTTTTCCACTGGTGGCTGTGCCTTTCCCCCTTCTGGTACCCCTATAATTCGGATGTTGGAGCGTTTAAAGATGTCCTGGAGGTTCCTAAGACTCTCCTCATTTCTTTGAATTCTTGCTTCCTGACTCTTTTCTGTTTGGCCATTATTTGCTTTCTTCTGGTCCACTCCATTGATTTGAGTCCCAATTTCCTTTTCATTGCTATTAGTGTCCTGTGCAATTCCATTCATTTCAATTAGTTTCCCCTTCATGTATTTGTATAATTTGTCGGCTATAATCAACCAGTTCTGTGAGGATCCTGATGACCAGTGTTTTAAACTGTGCGTCTGAGAGTTTTGCTATTTCTTCATCACTTATATCTATGGGCTCTGGAGCTTTGAGAACTTGCAACATTTTTGGTCTGTTCTGGCCCTTTAAGTGTGAGAAGCGGTGCCTTGGACTCCCAGGTCGCTGGGTTGTGACGCTGTATGTGGGGGCGTGGTCAGAGCGGGAAATGGCGGCGCCCTCTACTGCGGCTTGCCACGGTGACCGCCGGGGCCCGGGTCCAACCGCCCACTCCCTCGCCTGTCCGCTCGTGCACAAATGGGCGACCACAGTCAACACGCAGCACCACTTCCCCGCTGTCTCCTTCGCGGTGGCTCGCCTGGTGGCTCGCTAGGTCGCTCACTAGGTCCAACCCTGCACCTGGATTCCGCGCATCTGGATTCTGCGCCTGAGTCCGTCTGACCGAGTTTTCCTGTGCAACCCTTCACCAGCCGCTGGTTTCGCCCCTTACTGGTCAGGCTGAAGAATTTGTTGTTAACGGACTTCCGAAAAGTTCAATTTTCCGTGTTCTGGCTGTGTTTTCTGTTGCTAATATTCAGTTGTCTCTAAACTTGGTTGTGTGAGAAGGCACCGCACATCCACCTATGCCTCCATCTTGGCGGAAGTCCTATATATTTTTTTTAATTAAGCATTTGGCGTGATCCCTATTTTAAATTTTAGCTCTTTTATATAAGTGTACAGTGATATCTCCTTCGATTTTAATTAGCATTTTCTGAAAGGCAAGTGATGTTGAACACATTTTCACATGCTCGTTTGCCAGCAATGTTTCTTCTGTGGTAAAATGCCAAGTAATGTCTTTTGCATATTTTCTAATTATTTGTGTATTATTTTTGTATGTATTTTTACTGTTGAGTTTTGAGAGTTCTTCACATATTCTAATTAGGAGTCTTTTGACAGGTAT